CCAACTCATTCTTTTTAAAAATTTTTTTGAGGTTATTGATGGACAGATGCTTTTATTTTATTTGTTTATTTTTATGTGGTGCTGAGGATGAAACCCAGTGCCTCACATGTGCTAGGCAAGCGCTCTACCGCTGAGCTACAACCCCAGCCCTCCAATCCATTCTTAATGGTTGTGACATAGTTCACGATGTGTATGGAGTTCTATATATTTTTGGGGTCATCTGAATAATTTCATAATACATATTCCTATGTATTCTGTATTTTAACAAATAAAATGGTTATCAGTTGTAAGATCACACCTCCATGATCAACACTAACATGAAAAATACTGTAATTTCTCAAGAATTTTATTTTTGTACTTATAGAAAGAACTCTAGTAAAGATCTAAAGATCCATTAGCACGTGGCTTTTTACCTTGCGTTTGTGCTGTGCTTATACAAAAAGGTGTGTGTGAATGACACAGATACGGAACCCATCTTCTGAGCACAGAGCTGTCAGTGCCACACTGTACACAGTGCAGCCTCTGTGTCCTTGAGCCTGTTGGTGATAGCATTTCTTAGGAGGGTGCTTTCCTGGCTTGTGCTCTGCAAGCTTGCAGATGACATCTGGAGCTTCGGTGCCTTCCTCAGTGGTCCTCACCTGGATTACATGTGGCATCTGGACCCCAGGAGTGGTAGCCAAACTCCCGCATGACGGCTCTCGTGTGAAGATGGGCTGCTTCCCAGTGTGAGAGGGGAAAAGACGGACCCCTGGGGTGATGAGACAGAGTCCATGAGTGTGCATGTCCACCTGTGCTCTTGCTGGGCTGGGAAGCAAGTGCTTTTAAAGAGCTTTCTTTTCACCAGAGACATGTATGTGCACAGGGAAAGCAACGCTTGCTAATCAAAGCAAAAGCACAGCAGCGGTTTCTGCCAGCCCTTCCTCTCGCTTCCCAGTTCTGCTGTCCCTAGGGGCTACTGCATTCAGCTGTGGCCTGCTCGTTTTGGCATTTAGTTCTATATTTTTAAATGACAGTTTTATCCCACTAGTTCTTGAGTTTTGAACTTCAGACGGTACCTAGTGACTTCCTACCATGGGAAATGAGGATTTGGTCCTCCCCCCGCCCACTTCCCCCAAACACCCCATTCCTGTGACCTCTCCTCTCTGTGCAGTCAGTCTGATTGGGTTAAAAGCCATGGGTTTCTTTTCTGTGGCCGTGTACAGCTTCACACAGCCGAGGAGCCGTGCGTGCAGACTACTCTTCCTTCCTGCCTTGTCGACCTTGTTGGTTGTCATCCTTTTCTCCTGTCCTTGCCACTCTTCCTGCTCCATCAGTGGACTCTGGGAGATGCTTGGCAACGCTGGGTGTCCTGTCAGTCTCTGCTCTGTAGAGCCTTCTTCCTTGTTGGTGTCAGTCGGGACTTTATGACTGAAGAAGATGGTATCCATTAAGTTTTTTAAACTTCTATTTTAAGAGAGATAATTTAGGGGGCTGGAGATGCGGCTCAGGGTAGAGCACTGGCCCAGCACATGCAAGGCCCTGGGTTTAGTTCCAGCATTGCAAATACACATGTGTACACACATACATACATGTGTGCTCCTATATATGATTTATATGCCATAAACTCAATGAACTGAATAGTATACGATTCATTACCAAAACAAAACAAAACCTCCTGTGGGCTGGGTGGGGTGGTGAGAGCTTGCTTAATTCGTGCTGGCCCCGCCTCCCTCCCAGCACCGTGAGGAAAGGACCCCTGAGCCCACTGCAGTTGGTCGGCCCCCAGCCCTGGTCCCAGGCAGCCACCAGCCAGCTCTGGCATTGTAGTGTATTCTTACTGGACATTTCAAATAAATAGAATTGTACTGTGTGTGTGTGTGTGTGTGTGTCAGAGACAGACAGACAGACAGAGACATCTGACTTTTTTATTCAATGTAATTTTTTTGAGTTTCATCCGTGTGTAAAGGTGTCAGCATTTGATTTCTGTTTATTGCTGAATAGTTCCCTCTTATGACCCTAATGTTTTGTTCATCCATCTGCCGGTTGATGGACATTTGGGTGAGTTCCACTTTTTGACCATCATGGATAATGCTGCTTGAACATCTGTGGACGAGCATTTGTGTGGACATGTATTATTTTTATTTCTCCTGGCGCACAGCGAGGAGTGGAATTACTGGAGCCTAAGGTAAATTTAGGTTTAATATGTCAATAAATCAACAAATTGTCCCCAAATGCCCCCCCTTCACATTTCTACCAGTGATGTGGGAGGGTCCCAGCTTCTCTGCACCCTTGTTATTGTTTACCTTTGGGGGGGTTTGCTTGTTTTATTCAGTACTGGGCTCTGACCCAGGGCCTGGGCATGGCAGGCAGCACTCCAGCTCTGTGTCACCCCAGCCCCCGTTGGGTACTTTTTTATTATAACCATGGCCGTGAGTGTGACGTGCTCTCTTGTTGGGGTTGAATTTGCAGATGACTAATGGTGTTGAGCATTCATTCATGTTCTTGTCGGCCATTTTGTACATCTTCTTTGGAGAAATGTTTATTCAGATTCTTTCCCATCTTTAAATGTGGTAGTTTGAATTCTTATTGCATTACTGAATTATAAAAGTGTGTGTGTGTGTGTGTGTGTGTGTGTGTGTGTGTGTGTATAAATTCCAGATACAAGTCTCTTACCAGATATGCTATTTTAAAGTATTCTTTCTCCCAGGCTTTGGCTTGTCATTTGGTTTCTGAGTTCTGGGGATGGAGCCCCAGACGCTCTACCACTGAGCGACATCCTCAGCCCTTTTTCATTTTGAAACACTTGAGTTGGGTTGGGATTGTGGCTCAGAGGGAGAGCACTCAACTTGCATGCTTAAGGCACTGGGTTCAATCCTCAGCACCACATAAAGATAAAATAAAGATACTGTGTCCACCTGTAACTAAAAAAATAAATTAAAAAAAAAAAAAGAAACACTTGAGTTGCCCAATCTGGCCTTGAACTTACGATCCTTCCTTTTCAGCCTCCAGGTCACTGGGATGACAGAATACTGGCTGAGTTCCTCAGCACAGTGTTGAATAGAAATGGTCCCAGGAGGCCACCTCATCCTGTTCCTAGTTAGAGTGGGTTTCTGTGTAAATTTTCTTCAGAGATCTTCCCCTCCTGGTAGACTTGGTCCTAAAAGCCTAGGCTGCTGTGTTCCCACCAGGCTGCAGTCCTTTGTAGGGCTACAGAGAGGGTGAGACACAGTGCCCAAGTAAGGCTGTCTGTGGAGGGGGAGGTGCTGGCCCCTACCTGTGCGGGGAGTCTCCTGTGGGCGTTGGGTGATTCTCTTCCCTGATGCCTGGCTGGCGGAGCCCATGCCTTTGCTGACTTAGGAAAGGATATTTCCAGCAAAGGGAGATGCGCAGGCCAGTGACTTGTGGGTTTGCAGCAGCTCCTGAGGGTTTACTTTGGCAGCAAATCCCCAGCTGTTACTGGGGTCACTTATAGAAAGGCTTGTTGCCCCCGGTTTTGGTGAAACTCCTGAGCACAGGGGACATTGCACTGCCTGTGCCTCCAGCCCACCTGTCCCACGTCCCGCTGGCAGGAGCAGAGGCCCACGTGTTTCCTTGCTCTGCCTGTGGTCAGGGAGGAAGGGAAAGCAGGAGCAGGACGGGAGAACTGCAGGGAGAGTGTTTGGAGGAACTCGGTGACGTTCAGGAAGGAGCTGTGTTTTTCTTTCCAGGGCTGTCTGAAGCCACAGTCAGGCCAACATGGCAGCTCTGATGACCATCTCCAGCTGTGGTCAAAACTAATTTTGCCATCCCTAATCCACACATAGTCTCTGCAGGAAGAGGGCACATTGGCCACCACCTCCTTGTGGAGGTGACAGGAGGGTGACACAGGAAAGAACCACATGGCCCGCAGGTCATCCCACTCCTTCATCCAGCGCATCTGCCTGGGAGCCTGGGAGCCCGGGAGCCCGGGAGCCAGGGTTCCTCTCCCTCGAGCTGCACCCTGGGCACTGAGGCAGTGAGAGGGGTGTGAGGGGGCAAGCACAGGCTCCTCCCAGAGCGCTCAGCTCCTGGTGCTGGCGCTGTCTCCGGCACAGTCACATTCCCCTCTGTCCTTCCCAGCCCAGTGTCAGAGTGCTCCCTCCCAGGTGGCCTGTTTGCTCAGCTGTTTCCTCTGGACGCCTGCAGAGTTGTCCCAGAGCTGCTCTGGGTGCATTGTGTCCTCAAAATTTTAGAAAGTGTTCATTTTGCTTTTGGGTCTGGGTGCCATGTGTTGGGGGCGGGCAGGGTCCCCAAGTGTATCCTCAGGTGCAACAGGCAAGGTCCCCAAGATGGGACACAGCAGCCCCCTAGGTCCCGATACCCAAGTCCTTCATGCTGTGCCTGGTGGTTTTCTGGTTCTCTGCCGCAGAGCAGATACTAACAGGCGAATCCAGGAAGCCCACATCTGCCTATTTTCTCTCTAGGAACTAATGGGTGTTTATCTGGAGAAGAACTAAATGTCCAAACAAATAAAAGAATGTAGGTTTTTGATGAAGCTTTCTGAGTGCCCTGGGGGTTTTCTTCCTGAGAGGAAGTGCTGTACTCAGAGCTTTGGGGCAGGGAAGGGTCCTGAACCTGTCAGGGAGCTTTTACAAATTATGGGTTCCTGGGTAGACCCCAGACCCCAGACCTTCAGAATCAGAGCCTCTGACCTACTGAACCTGCCACAGAAACCCCTGAAGAATTTTAGAACATCAGGACCAGAGCTGACTGTGGCTGTACCAGCCGGCAGTTGTCACCTGGGTCGTGGTTAAGGAGTGAGAGAGCCTTGGGGTCTGCCTCCCTCTTCCAGTGGCAAGGACCGGCTTCTATTCATGATGAGTAACTGCCTCTCAAATTACTGTGTTGCCAAAGGCCTGGCGCTCTTGTCACCTGGCTGCCCAGAATTAGGCTGTGGCAGCCAGTGGTTCTCTATGATGGATCTGTTATCGCATTTCCCTTGGATGTGAAGTCCCTATTGGCTTTGTAGGGGCCCCAGAGTGACCTTGTTCTTGGCAAAGACCCCACATGTGTAAGACCCCAAAAGAAGTCAGCCACTTAAATTGTAATCTCCTTCCTCAGATTCATGGCTGGGGCCCGAGAAACTTGCAGCCCCGTACCGTGTCCTTCCAGCAATGGCTCTGACTTGTAAGTGTAGACCTGTGAGGGACTCCATCCCCTGCCCCTCTGTCACCCTCAGCCCAGGAGCCGTGTGGTCATGGCTGATATGGCACTGTGCAGGGCTGTAGTCATGGCTTAGATGGCACTGTGCAGGGCTGAGGCTCACCGGACGTGACACTGTGACCACAGCTCTTCCCAAGACCTCCTGGACCCCAAGGCCTGGACCCACCTCCTGGGAGTAGGAAAAAAACATCACAGAGTCACATGCAAGCGAGGGGCCCGTGGGACCTCTGTGACTGTTCCCCTAAGAAAAGCTTTTTAAAATAAAAGCTTAAAGAATCGGTTACATTGAATGGACACCTGGTACCTGCCTCTCAGAGCTGCAGACGATAACTGTTTATCAGATTTATTTAAAATTTAAAAAAATTAAATAAGCACCATATACACCAAGTCACTGGCACCTTCCTGACATCGCACCTCACATTTCTGTAACGCAGTGCTATCCCCTGCACGGGAGCCCCACCCGTGGGCCCAGCCCTGTTGTGAAGGCACCGTGGCCTTTTCTGTTGTGAAAGATGGTGTCATGTTTACTTCTGCACAAGCCACAGCCATGCTCAGCGGTATCTAGGTGCCTTTAGGTCTGTCACGCAGGTGTTGGACCTCATGATCTTGGTGGCGTCTCAACTGGCAGTCTGCACCCACCACTGGGTGCTCAGGGAAGGGCCCTTCAGGTGGCCTGTGCGTGAGGCCATCCTGATGCAGGGTTCAGCCTGTGTGTATACATGTGCACACGTGTGTGCCCAGGTGTCCTCCTGGCTGCACCATGGCAGGGAAAGGATACAGGGAGCAGTCAGATTTTTGTCCCCTTGGCCGGCACCACAGTGGCCGCGAGAGCCGCTGCCACAGAAGACACAGAAGCTGCTGCTGCTCCACAGCCCTCCTGCCCTCGGGTGCCCACATGCCCCTGGCCCTGGTATAGTCACCACTGCTGCTGCCTGGAGCCACAGGCTGTGGCCCTTAACCCACCAGGATCAAGGACACAAACCTTGAGTGGGCCCTGGCAGCCCCAGCTCCCACGTGCAGGATGGGTAGACCAGGGGTGAGTCAGAGCCCAGCCCTGCAAGGGGGTCACCCGAGAGAAGTGTGCCAGTCCCCATCTGGAAGAGCGGGGTCCAGTCTGCTGTGTGCCTTCTGCATGGGACAGCAGCCCCGGGGAACTCCTGGAACACCCTGTGTGCTGATCATCAGGGCTGGGGCCCTCTGGAGACCCTGGGAAGCCAAGAGGACAGGCCCCCCTTCTTGGCTTGCTGCTCAAGATACTGAGCATGCTCTCCTGCAGCCTGGTGCTCCACTGGGGACACTTAGGGGCTGGAGCATCATTTGAACTGTTGTGTTCTTTTTTCAGATCTGGCCCCAGGCTGTGCAGTGAGGCCAGGCTGTGGGTCTGCTGCTGTTCTTGCAGCCAGTGGGACAGGTGGGACAGGCTAGGCTCCGACCCCACCTGCTGGGCACCTGCTCAGCTCCCGGCCTGGCTGAGCTGGCTCTGCAGCAGGCAGGAGCAGGGGTGCAGTGGGTGGAGCGGCCTCAACACTGCAGCTAGCAGCTAGCAGGCCTCCCGGCAGCCTCGGCCCCCTGCGGGCTGCAGATGCACAGGCAGCCTTCTGGAAGGAAGGACAGGGCTCAGCCGCCAGCTCCTGGTATGGCTTGCACTGGCCACTGCTCTTGCTCTCACAAGCCTCCTTCCTCTGGCTTTTGTCTGGTTTTGTTTGGAATGGCTGGAGACAAAGATGCCACACCAGGGGATAAGGCTGGAGGAGACCCAGCAGAGGCGTGCGGCAGAAAGCGCCGGGGTCGCTGGGAATGTTGAGAGGTCTGGGGTCTCCTGGGCTCCATCCATCCTGCTCAAGCCTTCCGCAGCATCGGTTCAGAGAGCGCTTCCTGTACTTGTGAGCATGAGATTTTAAAGGTCTTTTACGGGATGTGGGTGATTTCTGGGCTGTGTGTACGTGTGTGTGCGCGCGCGCGCTTATGAGTGTGCATATGCCCATGTTTATGTCTGTTTGCCTTTAAGTTGCATGAGGACTGTGGTGCAGTGCTGGTGTGAGTGCATGAATGTGTGTGTGTGCACATGTGAGTGTACATGTATTTGTGTGTGCATGTGTGTGTGTTGTGCATATGCCTGTCTAGCCTGATGGAGTACAGGTGGCCTTGGGAAGGTGGCAGGCATGCTGTTGCGGAAGCCACCCACAGGACACTGTGGTAATTGATCACTCCCCCTCGTCTAGTGAGGGATGATGACCAACTGTGTCTCATCCCAGGGAAGTATAGCCTTCCACACACGGGGCTGGAGGACAGGGCAGTAGGTGGACAGGACAACGTTCTGGGGTGACATGGTGACCTGAGAGGAGCTGGTGCTTGGTGGGAGGAGTGTTTGATGGGCTTTGGCCCAAGGCCCACAGTGCAGGCCATGTGTCACTGGGCTTCTGTAGGGCAGGTGCTTTCTTCCTGACTGCCCTGGGGGTGGCTTTTCTGGGGGTGCTTTGTGATCCTGAGGTGCTGCCTGTCCTTTCAGAGGGCACAGCCAGTGGACAGAGTTCCTTGAGCCTCCTGTAAACCTGCTTTGATAGAATTGTGACAGGTGTCAGCAGTGTCTTAGGAGATTCACATGATGCAGGAGGACCTGGGAGATGGTCACAGGTCCGTTTACCTGTGTTGGTTCTGTTTCAGGAATAAATGCCCAAGCCCGGAGGCTGCAGCGAGTCCGTGCCAAGGGCACCCCGGCCGTGGACCCAGGGGCTGCCCGGAGCTCCCCTCCACCCCGGCTGCGCCGCACTGTCAGTGAGACCAGCTTGAACCTGGCCAGCACCCTGTCTGACGCTGCCCAGGGGCCTGAGGAGCCCAGCCAAGACACCATGCGTGACTGCCTGTACCAGTCCCCACACCTGCTTCTCCTGCAGGGTTACAGCCAGCAGCATGTGAGCCCCCGCTGACACCCGCAGCCCCAAGCCCCACCCAAGGACTCACATCAACCCTGTGCCTCTGGTGTGGCCTCTCACGCACCCACAAGGCTCCTCCGGGAAACCACCTTCCCCAGCACAGGCTGGGTGGCCAGGGGTGGGCGACTTAGTGTGGTGTGTCTGGTGGACAGCAGTCCCAGCCAGAGACTGGAACACCTGTTCCTCCCCTTTCTTACCCTCTGCTCTGGTCTGGGCAGGTGGGGTCCCACCCCTGAGTCAGGCGTTGTGTTTCAGGACAGCCTGGTGTATGTGCTCAACCGCGAGCGGCACACGGTGGGCCAGCGCACGCCTTCCAGCAAGCCCAGCATCAGCCTGTCGGCCCCCGACATCCTGCCCCTGCATTGCACCCTTCGGCGGTACCAGCCCCCCGAGGGACAGGCGGCCCTACTGCTGGAGCCCATCCCTGGGGCGCCCATATCCGTCAACTTCAAGGAGGTGGGGTGGAGCACTGTGGCACTGCAGCATGGGGACCTGCTCTCCCTGGGCCTCTACTACCTGCTGCTGTTCAAGGACCCATCGCAGGCGCGGTCTCTGCCCGCGGGGACCCTGGCGCGGCTCCGGGCTGCGCCGCAGAACTGCAAGATGTGTGGCATGGCACTGGGAGCTGGGGACAATGCCTCCTCCGTGCTGGCTGCTGTCCCGCGACGGCGGCAGCTGCTCTTGGAGTTTGAGCCTGAGGAGGAGGATGCACTGCTGCAGAGAGTCATGACGCTGATTGAGCCCGGGGGGGACGACTACAAGCTGACCCCTGCCTTCCTCCTATGCCTCTGTGTCCAGCACTCAGCCACCCACTTCGAGCCCGGCACATTTGGACAGCTCCTGCTCAAGATAGCCAAGAAGATCCGCGAGGCAGTGTGGGTGAGTGGGCTGGGCACGCAGGCCACCGCAGAGTGTCCACTGGCAGCGGGACAGCCTCCGGCTTCTGCCTGTGTGTGTAGGGGGGTCCCAATTCCTCTCTGATTGCCTCGTGGCAATGCCAGGCTGGACAAAGGGCCAGCCTCTCTGGCCTGTCTACCCCTCACCTCCAGGCCCACGGCAGCCGCACCACATTCCAGGCTTCCATGTGGGTCTGGGTAGTGCAGAGTTGGCTGCTGCTTCTGAACTTTGTCCTTTCCTATGGTCTACCCTGGCCTGGTACCATCACATGCCCAGAAATGAGACAGCCCAGAGGCTGGACACTGCAGGGCCCAGGGACCTTGGGCGCTCTCGTAGGCCCCTGACCACGGCTCACTGCTGGCACTTTTCTCTGGGGCAGGTGAGTTGCTGTCCCTCTGAGCCGTCCCCCGCTGACACCCTTTTCCCTTGGTAGTGAGGATGCAGGGCTGGTCAGTTTTTGGACATTGATAGATTCTCCGTCAGGCCAGAGTCTCAACCTGGTGCTGTGGTCCTATGGGTAGAACTTCTCTGGGCCTTGTCCCTGGTATCGTACCCTGGCCTCCACCCACCACGGCTGGTCCCTGCTCACAGGGACTCCAGGCATGGCCCTGGGGATTACTTGGAATTGTCACCCCACTGGGCTGGACAAGCACCAGAACAGGCTGTCTGGGGACGCCCCATGGTCTCAGCCTCCCTGCCAGCTCCTGCCCCACTGGCTTGAATCCCAAGACTCAGAGGAAGGCTTGTAGTCACCTGGAGTTGTTCAGAGGCCTTTTCTCATCTCTAGTGGGCAGGGCCGTGTGGTACCTGGTCAGTTTTCTCGTATTAAAGTCCACATTTAGGGGCTGAGGCTGTGGCTCAGTGGTCGATCACTTGCCCAGCGTGTGTGAGGCACTGGGTTCGATTCTCAGCACTGCATATAAATAAATAAATAAAGATCTGTCAACAACTAAAACAAATTTTTAAAACATCCATATTTAAAATAGATGACACCCTTTGGAAGCATAAGCCTGATGGGCCATCCCCTCAAGAGGTTCATAGAGTGACCCATAGGCGTTATGGGTGTGCTGGAATGTGACAGGGGGCCTCACAGCATGGCCACGCACCATCTATAATCGTGTGTGGGGACGGGGAACCTCATGGCATTTTCTGAGTGTGCTCTGTGCCTGGCACTCATCAGCCCCGCTGATGCTCTTTGACCCAATTAACCTTCATAGCTACCCTGACTGGGCAGGTGCTGTATCCCATGTTACAGGCAAGGAAACTGAAGCCAGGAGGGCATAGGTCACTTGACAAGAGGGCACAGTGGCAAGACGAGACTGAGCCTCACCCACGGCCACCTCTTCACTCTGGTTCATTCCTACGGGGACCCAACCCTGCCATGTTGCACAAGCTTGGAAGCTGAGGCTGGCAGACAGGAGCCGCTCCCATGGCATCCTGAGCTCGCAGACATAGGTGTCTATATCCAGGTGGCCCCACGCCCGTGGCATCTCCTCACTTCGGCTCTGGCCTGAGCAGAGCCCCTGTGAGTTCCACTTGCTATAAATTTTCTCATGTTCCTACAGAGCAGCTCCCAGGGCCACTCCCCTGTCTTCTTAGCAAACACATAGGTAGGTGGATATGCACACTGTACAGGAGTAGGGCACGAGGACCAAGCCAGCGACCAGGGTTCTATTGGACTGAGACTAGTTTGCTGCTAAAGCAAGAGCAATTGCTGATTAAGAGAACGCACAGAAGATGTTAGCTGCTCCCCTCTGGGCTGTTTACCTATATTGTAAATGTCCAGGCACACATGTGTCTGCCTGCTGTGACTGTGGCTGGCATCTCAAGATGTGTATATTAGGAGTAACAACAAAGAGTGTTAGTAGACTACTCATTCTAGTATCTGTCAAATGTTTGTCCTGTCTTTACTATTTTCTAAATGGCCAGTTGTGTGAGCTGAGGGCTGTGGACTGATTGTGTGTAGATCATGTTCAGTCATGGATGGGAAGATGCCTAAGTCATGAAGAAAGTTCTTTCCAACTTCACTGAGAATCAAATATCAGCCTTCACAGGGTGTCTGGGATAGTGTGCCCTATTTTTCATGGAGATGGAGCATCGTGTATTTGGAGGTATCCTGTTGTCCTGTTTCTCTCTTTCTCTCTGTAGGAGAAAACCAAAGAGCTAGCAGAGAAGCAGGCGCAACTGTAAGTATGGCCCAGTTATTGTCCCCGCCTCTCAGCTGCACCTTCCCTGCGGGCTCCTGCTTTCCGGGGAGCTAAGTCCTCAGGGAGCCTCCGGATGCCGGAACTCCCCTCCGTGCTTCACCAGCGGCCTTCCATCTCAGAGTAGTTGTGTCCATTTCTCTCATCAGCACCCTGGGGAGCTCTGGGTAGAAATTTCCTAAGGGCGGAGTGGGCAAAGCCTGTGCCCATCTTCCTCCCCCATTCTCCTGATAACCACCCACTCCCTTCAGGAAAAGCCCGCAGCCCTCAGTTGCCGAGATGGGGCCATGTATTGCTCTGTCCAAGACCCGCACCCTAGCCTGTGCTGCTGCTGGGCCTCGGCCATGCCATCTGGATTGTCTGACAGATGTGCAGACGCTGAGCCCTGCAGCCCGCTCAGAAGCACTCTTGTGGGGATGGTTTGTAGGGACAGCAGTGCTGTGTGTCTGTTCTGTGGACATTGCCATGTGAGAGTCCTTGAACCGCAGCCACTTGCTTTCTGTGTCATCAGACCTAAAAAGCATGCAGAAGGACAGTTCCCTGCACCTATCACATGATCACGTGCACATACACATGGATTCCTAACCAAGACACCTCTCTAAGAGCCCCACTCAGGTGGTAACACTGAAGGCTGAGTCAAAGGAGGCCTGGTGGGGAATCCAGAGAGGGGACCGGATCTGTGGGGCTCCCAGGGACTCCACATACCAGTGGCATCCTGGCTAAGTCAGGCCACAGTGTGGTAGAGGCCAGCCTCATTCCTGCTCATGCCTCCCTCTCAAAACCAGAGCTCACCATTGCCGCATGTGCTCGCTCTCGCATGTGCTGGCTCTCGCATGTGCTCTGGGGCCATGCAGGTGATTTCACCATCCGCCTTTCAAAGTAGGAGCTGGGAACACTCAGATGGAGGCCTCAGGGCTGGGGTCTCACTGTCCCTTCTCGGTGTCCCCCAGGTGTAGTTGAGCTTAAGGTGCCACTCACTTGCACAGGCCCACTTACTCCCTGGCTCCTGCCAGTGTGAGGAGCCAGAGCAAGATCTGACAGAGGTGCCAAGCGGAGCCACGGCCTCTGGGGTCTGAGGCTGTGTGGGGACCCAGGCATGGCTTCCTGTAGAACCAGCAGGGGCAACACTGGGCAGATGCAGGAAGGTAGCCAAGGCGTAGGTGCAGTCGCAGGGCTTGAGTTTCTGGGTTTCTGTGTCAGAGGAGTTTGGTAAAAGTTGGGACAGGGCCAGCTTGGGTATGGGGCCTCTCCAGGGACTTCCCTGCTGGGCTTCAACACAGCCAGAGTGCCAAGGGGCACAGAGGTGGCAGAAGCTGCCCAGCCCTCCTCCTGTGTGCTGAGGTACAGGTAAGACCAGGCCCCTCTGTCCCAGTGGCTGTCTGTGGGTGGCCTGGAGCCCCCAGCACCCTTGGTATGAAGCAGATACAGGGTGGACCCAGCTTCTCCACTAACCGGAAGAGCCGGGCCTTCCCTCCAGCCCATCTGTTCCACTGCGCCTTAGAGCGTTCACCAGGGCCTAATGCAGTCCTGTTTCCATTCTGAACACACACTCCTGGGTTTTTTGTTTTTTGTTTTGATTTTCCTTTTAAAAAAAATGAACCATTTCCAAAATAGAGAACAGTGAAGGATATGCTGCCAGGCACCACAAACCCACACCTGGGTTATCATGGCCCATGCTTTGCTGTGCTCGCTGCGAGCCTGTTGTTTCTTTTTAATGTGAACGGCCTTTGGATTTCACGGGACCCCGGCCTGCAGCTGGGACCCCCCCTTCTTTCTCGTCTGTTAACGTGGGGTCTGCACTGCCAGGTTTTCTCACGTAGAACCATGCTTTAGTTCCCTATTCCTGCATAATTAGTATTTAATTTTTCTTGAATTCATGAATTATTTTGAATGTTTTTCGAATTTCTATATACTTAAGCTTTTCTGTGCTTCTATTTTTCATTTTGTTACAATATGATAAGAAAATGTGGTTTGTAAGACTTTTTTTCTTATTTTTCATTTTGTTAAGAATCCTTTGTTGGCTAGTTTGTGATCAATTTTTGCAAGCATTCTATCTGTGCTATGAAGAGTATTTTTTGTCTAATGTTCAGCATGTCTATGAGCTCACATTCATCTACTTAATTTGATTGCACACTAGCTTTTTTTGCCAGCTTAAACTGTGATTTTGAGATGAATAAGTTAGCATTTCTCCTTGTTCTTGTGAATTTGTAAGTTTCTTTTAAAAAATTATTGGCTTTGTTTTATTTTTGTTGGTGCTTTGCAGTGAGGGGCTTACAGCTTCAATGGCATTCTTTGAAACGGTTACTTTCAAAGTCATGTCCCTCTTTTTTCCTAAAAATTCTTACTGCCTTTTTCTATGATGTTAATACAGTGTCACTTTTCGTGTGTTACTGTTGTCTTGGTAAGTTTTTTCATTTCTTCCTTGGAATCTTTCTGTCTTTTTACTTCTGAACGTAATGGTTTACACAGTCAGTTCTTCTTTCTTAGTGTGCAAGTTTAACCCATTTACATTTATTACACTTACTGATGTACTGGAGATATTTTTACCAAGTTCACTGTGGTTTTTGTTTACCGTGCCTATTGTCTTTCTTTTTTATACTTCCTTATCCCATTAGATTTTAGAAACTCCTTTCTTGGTTTCAGAGTTATTCTGAAAATATTGATATCTCTCTTTGCGGAACACAAGATTAGGTCTTAGAATGCTCTGGCTCCCATCCCGTCCCACCTCTGGCTCTCAGTTTATCACTTGGATTATTTGAGTTTCTCTTTGCTCTCAACCCTGTCATTCCCCATGACATTCTTTGTTTTTATTTGTATTTATAATCTGTGTTTATCTTGATTTACCCACGTGCTTTTGCTTACCAGTGTTTTTCTCCTTATCGTGACTTCTTGTGCCGCTCCCTCATTCCGGAACGTTCCCTTGGGACTGAAGTCATCCTGAGTGCAGCTCTGTGGTGGCCAGCCCTTGGACGTGGTGTCAAGAAATGTCTCCATCTGCTTGCCTCTTAGGGAGGAGGTCAGCTCTCTCCCTTCAGCCCTGGAAGATGTGGTTCCATCATCTCTTAGCACCCTGTCTTGTTGAGAAGTCGTGTGTGTGTCTAATTTCGTTCTTTTGTGATTAGTTTTCTCTTTTGCCTTTTGAGATTCTCTTCAGGTGGTCAGTTTTACACCTTATTTATTTCTGGGCTTGTTCTGTTTGTGTTTCTCCTGGTCGGGGTTCTGGGAAACACACGGCTGTTCTTAGTCTGGCAGCTCTGCCTGGCCCTGCTTTTCCCAGGGACTCCCGCCACCGTATCTGCCCTGCAAGTCCCTGTGTCCTGCAGCTCTCCGCCGCTCCTTCCTGTCTTGCCTGCTCCTGGTGCGTTCTCAGCGATTGCTCCTGGCCTCTCAGTCCTTCTTCTCTTTTCCTATGCCTGTTCAATCACGGTTTACAGTCTTTCTTTGATTTGTTTAGTCCCTTGAGATATGATTGCTGCATGACCTCACGCCTCGTCTTTGGGTGGTGTATTTGGGGCGATTCTCCCTTCCCTTGGCCCGTTCCCACTGAAGTCAGTGTAGTTTTCTGTGGTGACCGGTATGTACTGCATGTGGAGGTCCCCTGCTGTCCCGGGACTTGGTCCTGCAGCTCGGGCCTGTTGCTGTTGTTTCCGGGTTGCTCATGCCCCCCGATGGCTGTGTGCCCCTCTCTGTGGTGTAGGCTGAGGGTATTCCTGTGGATTCTGTCCCTTCTCCCCACACACTGAACAAGCAGAGGCCTTGTGGATCCATGCAGAGCCCTGGGCTTTGTGGGGTACAGCTCCAGTTCTTCTGGATTCATCTCCACTCTGTCCTTGCCTGCGTTCAGAGCCCTGGCTGCCAGGGCCCCGCAGGCTGTCTGCAGAACTTGGTTGTGTGCTTCTGTGTTCAGAACTTGGACTGAAGACCCCTTTGAAGCTTTCTTCTCCTGCACCTCCACACACGTCACCCTCCTGCCTCCACGGGGCTCAGAGAGACTCCTCGTTCCTAATGGTGCCCCAGGGTTTATGTGCTAGAGTGCCAGCACTCAAGTTTAATAGATGACCGCCGTGTGTCATCCTCAGGCCTACAGTCCTTCATCCCTAATCTTTGGGGCCAGATGTGTTTGGGATTCAGAATGTTTGGGGTTTAGAGAGTCGGGGTCAGAGTGCTGGTGTCCCAGAGGTCCTTAGCTGGACAGCGTTGTGCTCAGGGCTGCTGCACGAAGGGTTCCTGAGACCAAACAGCCTCACGTAGGCTCAAATTTTGCCATTGGATGGAGGGACGGCCTCTGCTGACCTCTGGATTCGGCCCCCACACCTGGGAGGGGGCAGCTCCTTCAGCCTTTCTGCTACCTCCATGGCTGCCCTGCTTTTCCCTCCCTGTTGTCCTTGACTCTGGGCCTCTGGTGGCATTGCTGCCTCTATTTTCTGTCTGCCTTTTTCCCTGAGCCTCCTAGCCTGGCATCCTCTTGTCCCCCACCTGGTAACACTGCCACCACATCCAGAGTCTAAGGACCCGGGAGGCTTCTGCTTCTCCCCACAGTGTTCCATGGACTGCTGGGTGCGTGGCCCCTGTCCTGCTCCACCTGCTGTCCTGGGGTCCATGGGCCTCTGCAGAACCTTCCTCACCTGGTCCCTCTTGGTCCCTCCTCAGCTCTGCCTGGTCCATCTTCTTGCTCTGTCCTCTGCCTGCTCCCTCCATCCATGCCCCGCCCCGAACACCCCTGTCCATTCTGCCTGCCTTTGTCACCTCTTCTCATTCTGTCAGTGGTGGCTCTGCCAGACTGTCACCTTGCCAGTCCTTGCCCTGGTCATCCCTGGGTACCATGCCCATCCACCTCACTGCAGTCCAACCTTCTGTGGCTTTGTGGCCTGGCCGTCCTGTCCCCACATGGTCCTCCAGCGGAATTCGTTTCACTGTTGCACAAACATGACAGGAACATGCTCTCTCCTGAAATCAGGCTGGGCTCAGCTGCCATAACAGGAAGTCCAGCACCCGCTGCCTCCCGGATCCCTCCCCAGGCCCAAGGCAGCTGCTGGGTGTGACAAGGTCATTTCCCCCACCCCTCCCGTCCACCCGGTGAGCTGTGCAGGATGAGCTGTGTAGTGATTGGCTCTCTCTCACAGGCGCCAGGTCAGTAGATGTGACTTGAGCTGCTCTTGGTGGTGTGCTGTAACTCAGGTGGCACTGCACCACCTGCGTGCCTTCTTCTCCTGGTGGACGGGCTGAGCAGGTCCAGGTTTTGCCACCACATTTGCTGTCCGCCTTCCCATTGCTGCTCGGGTTGCCTTGCCTGCCTCCTGCGGGCCCCAGTGCCAGCTGTGGACCCTCCACACGCCCTTCTGTAGGCCTCACCTTGGCCTTGCTCAGCCATGCGGGCCCTCGAGCTCCTCGCTGAGTTCCAGAGGGACCTGCTCTTGGCCTGTGGGGCGTCTTTCTTTGCCAGGAGGCTTGAACTTGCCCCTCGTCCACATAGGCTGTGCAGGAAGGTCTCCATGTGCCCAACTCAGAGGGAGCCCCGGTGCAGGGCTTAGCTGGCGGCTGGGGAGCGCCGTGCTGACCTTGCTGGGGCTTGATACCGAAGCTCCAGGTGGCAGTGGCTGGAGGGTGGTTTCTTAGGGTGAAATTAAGAAGGACAGTAAATAGTAAAAGCAAATTGACCCTTTCTAAATGACAGTGCTGTGTGCACATGGACTCGGGTGGCTGTGGAGAACGGGCGGGAGCAGGGGTTGGCCCTGCTCCAAGGCAGCAGTGAGGAGCCGCCGCCCAAGTGGAGTAGGACCGAGAGATGTCAGCCTTGTTTGTGGACAAAAGTGAATTACATCAGAGAGAGCAAGGGGGACTTCAGGCCCTGGGGAGACTCGTGGATGGAGGAGAAAAACAAACCTGGCCCTGCCACGACCTCTCGGAGCCCAGCCCTGCGTGCTCTCAGCAGCTCCCTCCGAGGACACTGCTGAGTCCTCCAGGACCCTGGACTGAGAGCAGACACCAACACCAGGTGCTGCCCTTGGGCCCCTCTGATGGCCTTCATCCTGATGCCCTCCAGGCGCAGGTGGGGTCCAAGAGCCCCTGCAGGTCCTGGGCAGAGACTGCTCGCAGATGCCCTATGGCGGCTGAGCAGCTGGCACCTGGCTTGTGATTTAGAGTTCCCTGTGAGGGGGACAAGGTGGTATGGGGTCCCAGCCTAGCTGGATATCAGGCAGCAGGGGTCTGTCTTCACCCCAGGCCAGGCCGAGCCAGATATGGGGGCGGGCAGTCTGCAGGTGGACCCCCTGTCTAGTCGCAGCTCCAGGGGTGCACAGCTAGCTGATGTCCACCGTGCCCACAAGATGGGATTGCGGAAGCTGGTGGGTGTCCATGTTGTCCTGAGCTTCGGGGACGCCAGGCGGCCCACACAGCCTTCAGGGCTTACTGCTGGGCTGGTGTGTTGATGAGATGGGTAAGACGTGCTGGCATCTTAAACTAAGGAATCACCCAGCACAGCGACAAAAGGGAGCTTCAAGTCACACAGGGCAGTTGACATACATACTGGGGCCAGTGCCGAGGAGATGGAGGGATGGTTGGGTGGCCTTAAAGACTGCCACTGAGGGAGGCAGGCAACCCTGACATTGCCACCATCCCCTAAAGAGGGAGTCCTGAGGGCTGGGGCAGTGGCTCAGTGGCAGAGCACTTGCCCAGCATGTGAGGCTCTGGGTTCGATTCTCAGTACTGCGTATAAATAAATAAAGGCCCATTGACAACTAAAGAAGTATTTTTTTTTTAAAGGGGGGGACCTCTGAGCCGAGAGGCCGCAGGTCTGGAAGGGAAGATGCTCATTTCCCACTCAGGATGGCCTCAGGAGGGGTCTGAACTGCTTCTTGGTGCTGGCACCTGGCCATGCTGGTGAGGTAGCTTCTGCTTGAATTACCCGTAGTAGTAGCGCCCCATGTGGACAAATCACCAAACTGCAGGAGGGTTCATAATGGAAACCCAGCCACCTGCTTGCTCCTCCTGGAGGTGTGAGGTGACCTGGTTAATTGTCTGCTCTGGGGTTTTCTGACGATTACCTCCAGATCTCCAAAGAACAGGCTTTGATCATGGCCCCTTGCTTCATTGACTTTACAGTCTTCTCCTGACTTCCTTCTTGAGTAAAGTAGAATTTAGCTAATGTTAGTGCATCTCCTGAACTTCTATTATTGTTTGTCTCCTTGGGTGACAACCTTGTTCAATGTTGTGTGAAGCTCCTATTTCTTACTCTTAAATAACACACCCAGGCTCATGCTCCTTTTTCTAGAAACCATGGGCCTCACCCCCTCCCTGTGCATGTAGCCCCCCCTTCACATGCTCTCAGCATTCACAGCTACTTTATTATCTTATTTCAAAAGAGAAAAGACAGAAATAGGTTATTTACTAGAGGTCTTTACCAGTGACGGTGACAACTAGCTGTCCGTCCCACTAGGTATCTGGGGGCCTCTGCCATCTTGTGGGTTCACGCATAGTTCCAAGCCTCTCTGCCTAACACTACTAGGTTGACAAAAGTAGTTGTTTTGGTCAGGGTCTCATGAGAACAAATGTCCCATGTGACAGAGCAGCAGACTCAGCCCAGGGCCGTGGGCCAGCATAACTCTTGGTCTTTCTGTCTTGGCAGCCAGGAGCCCATCTCCTGGGCCAGCTTCACCATGGCCGACCTGCTTCCGGACCTGCAGCATATTCTCTTCTGGATGGCTAACTCCATCGAGCTCCTGTACTTCATGCAGCAGAAATGCCCGCTATACGTGCAGAGTATGGAGGAGGAACTGGACATCACAGGTGAGCTGGGCGGCCCCGCGGCCACACGGCCCTCATAGGCAGGGTGTGGTCCTGGGGCACAGTTGGCTTCAGGAACAGAGTGGAGTCACGTCAGAGTTTCCTGAACTCCAGCTGGCGTGTGGGGACTGCCTCTGGGCCCAGCGCCTGTGGTCTGGTAAACCTGAAGCCTCTGGATGCACAGTGTGTGACACCATTGGCCCCACAGTCCCATGGCCTGTCGAATGGAGGCATCTTGGCGCGGCCCTGCTCTGTCTGGCTCATGGGGAGGCCGGGGTGCACAGGTCACCTGGTAGGGGAGAGGCAGATGCACCATGGGTCATGTGCAAGGATCAGAGGTGCACCCTTACTTCAGGAGGGACGGGTGTTGCCACCTATAGTTGCAAACTCATAGTCATAGCTTGTGTCAATCTCAGAGGTTTAAATGTGGGGATTTTAATGTGCCTTTTAGGATTTATGAAATACAGTAAGAAGTGTTCTGAAAATAGTGGACGGGGACTCTGGCCGGTTGGTCTGGGAGGGCTCTGCGGAGGAGGTGGCACTGCAGGCCCACAGGGTTTCAGCTGGTGCGTGTCTGCTGAGGGCTGCAGGGGGCCCGGGGGGGGGGCGCTGGAGGTGGCCTGGGAGGTGGCCTCCCTGGAAGCAGCCAGGGAGGAGGACAGGACTGTCCTGCAGTGGGACCAGGTACCAAGGGGACATGGGTCCAGAGCCTTGTGGGAGTGGCCCAGGGGTTATCTCACACAGCTTTGCTCTACGGTGACAGCAACAAAGCTGCTGTCCTTCACGTCTGAGAGGCCCGTCTCAGGTGTGGTGGGTCCCTAGTGGGCCCTCTCTCTGAGGGTCCAGGCCGCAGCAGGAGGCACACTGGGAGCTGCCCTCAGGCCTCTCTGAGCTGGAAGGGACGTGCAGGCCAGGTACTTGGCACGGGAGGCCTGCAGATGGACCACGCGGCCTTGGTCTTCAGACACGTGTGTCACCCTGGATGCTGTCGTGGACTCCGCAGGAAGAGCCCTGTGAAGTCAAGACCGGAGTGGGTCCTGGACAAGCTGGGATCCTGCGGTGGCTCCTGGTGCCTTGGGGGTAGATTTCCTGAGAGGAGGGGCTCTCCATGGTCAGGGTGAGGGACAGGAGTGTCTGCATAGTGACCTTGAAGTGTCCAGTCATCAAGACAGGCTCCTGCTCTGCTTCGGGGGGCCTGGTCCTGTCTTGGGTCAGGGAGGGGCACAGGCTGCGGAGACCAGCTGGGACCATGTGCCTGGGAACCCTGGGCCCGCGGGGTGGGGGTGGGGCCAGGCCTGTCTGTCCTGGCAGGGCTCTGGTGACAGACTGATTGTTGGGGGAGAGCAAAACCTGCACCTGGACAGGACAGAGTCAGAGGGGATTTTCTCCTCCTCTGCTTTATGGGACAGGGGAGGTGGGACCCTCTGTGGACTCCTCGGGCCTTGGAGCCTGTGGCTCCATGGAGGGAAGTGTTGGCCCTTGACATGGATCCTCCCAAGTCCCATGGGTGTTCCAGATTGTGACCCTGACCCTTTCCCCCTCAGGTGACTGTGAAAGCAGCTAGACTCCCTCCCGGGGAGGGGCATGGTCTCGCTGCTGGCAGGCCTTGGGTGTGGTGTGAATGACTGCAGGGGCCCAGGTCTCCAGCCGCCTGCCTGCCCAGGCTCCACGGGTGCCTGGTGCTCCTGGAACCCAGTGCCTGCAATCTGGCTCTCCCTGCCCCTGCACTCCACTCCAGATTTGTTCTCATCTTTTCCCCGTGTCTTGCTGCTGAAGCAGGCAGGTCTGTGGTAAAGGACGGCTGGAGCTGCACTTCCCTGCTGCTGTTCCGGGGCCTGCTGCTCCGTGTGGGGCATGTGCTGGGGTTGGGCTGGGAGCTGTGGGCAGGAGATCCCTGTGGTCAGGGCTCAGGACCCGACAGCCCACCTTCCTGACCTACAAGTGCCCTCTTGATGCCCTTCCCTTGTGGTGCCATCAGGCTGTGCTCAGTGCTGTTGGGCAATGTGGAGGTCTCACAGGGACTGTCCCTGGCTGCTTCTCCTGGGAGATGTTGTCCTGGTTCCAGGGTCTGCGATCTCAGCACTGTGGGTCTCGGGAAGACTTGTGTTTGGTGGGGCCTGAGCGTCTCTTTCTGGTGATGGGCACGGGGGCAGTGATCCTGTGTCCCGTCCTGCGCATGACGCAGAAGCCTCGTGGCTGGGGTCTGGGTGAGCATGGCAGGCGCCGAGACCCAGGGAGACTCAGAGCAACCGGAGAGTGATGGAAAGGGCAGAGGCCACGGGGTCCCTGCTGACCTTCAGGAAGTGGCTGTGGGGAGAATCCTGAAGGCCTGGAGGTCTTGTCCTGAGAGCTGGCAGGATTAGTTTTGTCATTCCTGATTTTTTGTCCAAAGCTCTTGCTCAGGAGGCCTCATTGCCTGTCTGTCATGGCACATGTTCTTCGTACCCTTGTAGGATCCCCACGGCCTGGGCTTTCTGCAGGTGGCCAGGCCCCTGTACCTGTAGCAGCGGGGGCCGGGTTCCTTAGGTGCTTGCAGGGGCCTCTTCTTCTCGCAGAGGCTTAGTGGACACAAGTGTCTTTGTGGCAGGGTCTCAGACCCCATGTCCCCTGTGTTGGTCCACTCCTGGCTTCGTCCCGCAGAGCCTGCCCATCCCTCTTCCCGCCAGCTCTGTCCTGTCCTGCACTGATGAGTGCAGTGACTCTGGATCTCAGATAGGCCTGCCCAAGGCTGGCCTGTGCAGGTGGGAGGGCCTGGCTCTGTCCCTCTGCTCTGGCCCTGCCCCCTCCCAGCCTGCATCTCGGGCTGTCTAGTGTGGCCAGCAGTTGGGCCGGCAGCCCCTGGTGCTGAGTGGCGGCTTCTCTCTTCTTGAGCATTCTGACTTCATGGAGTGAGGGTCTCTCCAAGGGCTGCTGCGTGGGTTCCTCACCCTGTGTTCCTGGGAGAGGCGTCCTGGGAGCCAGGGTCGGGGTCTGCTACAGCCTGCGCCTGGGTGACAGGGCTGTCTCCACACAGGATCCAAGGAGTCGCTCTTCTCCTGCACGCTGACAGCCAGCGAGGAGGCGATGGCGGCGCTGGAGGAGGTGGTGCTGTATGCTTTCCAGCAGTGCGTCTACTATCTCTCCAAGGTGCCCGGGCAGCGCCCAGGGGGGATCTCCTAGGGCGTCTTTGGGGCACTGGGGAAGGGGCCGTGATGAGCTCAGCCTCAGCAGGGATAAGATGGCTTCTGTCCCGCCAGGCCCTGGGTGCACCCCTCGTCCCCTAGTCACCTCTTGCTCTCCAAGGACACCTGGCATCACCTGGCGTCCCCTCCCCTCTGTTGAAACACACCCCTACCTGGCAGTGTTTGGGGGCATCAGTGATAAGGCCTGAGAGGTCCGGCATGGGGCACCTGGGATGCCACACTGTGCCACTCTGACCCTGGCTGGTGCCCGCAGTACTGCTGCCAGCGCCCCGGCCCTGAGCCAGGTGGGCTGTTTTGAGGGCAGGGTGAGCTGCTTTCCCAGGAGGGGCCACTCTTCCCTCAGAATTCACAAGTGTTTCCAGCTCCTTTTGCTGGAGCTCATCCCACCAGTGCCACCTCTGTGTGCCTCTGCTGGCCATCGTGGGTTTGACAGGAGCATGTGTCGTATGACCACCATGGCCAGCCCCCACTGAGCCTGCTGTATGTGACTCTGTGCCCAGCAGTCCCAGAGGAGCTCCTGCCAGGCCCCGATGCTGCTTGCTCGGCAGGTGGACCTGATGAGGCCCAGGTGGGCGTTTGTTGGATGGGGCCTTCCAGGGAGCCCCGGCACCTCTGGAAGTGATTGTCGGTTCTCTGTCACCACCTAGTGCCTGTACGTCTGCCTCCCGGGCCTCCTGGAATGCCCCCCTTTCCAGATGGAGCGCCGAGAGAGCTGGCGCTCAGCCCCCACGCTGCCCGAGGAGCTGCGGCGCGTCGTGAGTGTGTACCAGGCCACCCTGGACCTCCTGCGGCAGCTCCAGGTGCACCCCGAGGTGGCCTCCCAGATGTTCTCCTACCTCCTCTTCTTCTCTGGCACGCTGCTCCTCAACCAGCTCCTGGACAAGGGTGAGTATGGCCAAGGGGCCTCTAGCCCACGTTCCCGCAGCAAACCGGCTCAACCCGAGGGACCCTCAGCCACAGTGCGGGACCCCGGGGGGGGGGTTCCCAAGGGGGTGGGTGGGAGGCTGGCTGAGGCCTCGGGGTGTAGAATCATGGCCTGGAGTGGGCCTTGCAGGAGCCCTGGTCCCATCAGGGTTGACAGGCCTTCCGGGGCCCTTCCTGGTCACTGGGAGGACATACACACTGCCCAGAACCACCTGGTGGGCAGAAGCCAGCTGCAGAGGCTCTGACCTTCAACACTGCCGTGGGGAGCTTATGTGCCTCCTCCAGCTGCAGGAGCTTGAGGTTCAGGTCCCTTCCAGCCAGGGGCACTGCTGTGGCATGAGAGAGCCAAGCAGGAGCAGGCTGCAGCACCTGTGTCACCAGCACAGACGGGGCCGCACTGGGTGGAGGGAGAGGGTCCCAGTCCACACCTGCACTCTGCAGTCAATGGCTGTCACACCCCTCTGCCCTGTTGCTCTGCCTCCTTTACCTCTCACCCCGCCCACCCCTGTCCAGACAGGGCCTGGGGAGCAGGTCAGTTTGTGTCGGAAACTGAGGCAGGGTCTCACATTTGTCCTTAAGCTGAAGAGGGAGAGCAGGCCCTGTGCTGAGTGGCCTGAGCATCACCCTCTCCCCCTCCTCAGGACCCTCCCTGAGTTGCTTCCACTGGCCCCGAGGTGTGCAGGCCTGCGCCCGCCTGCAGCAGCTCCTGGAATGGTGTAGGAGCGCCGGCCTTGGGGCAGCTGCGGAGCGCTTCTTCCGGAAGCTCTCCTGCACCCTCCACCTGCTGGCCACTCCCAGCGCTCAGCTCATCCAGGTAGGAGGGAATCCCAATGGGGAGAGCAGCAGTGTGGGGAGGAGTGGGTCCCATGTATTTATCTGGGGTCACTGGCTGACACACTGGGTCAGGGGTGGTGGGGACCTGGTTTCCAGACCCAGAAAACACAAACCTTCCATAGAGAACTCACAAAGTTTCTCCTCAGCTGTCCCCACCTGCAGTGGGCAGAGCATTGGTCCCAATGGGTGTCTGTTCCCAGTTCTGGGGTCCTATGATTATCACTCCACATGGCAAAGGGGGGCTTCACAGATGTGACTAAGATCAAGGACCTTAATGAGATGAGGAGATGACCCTGGGTTATCCTGGTGGGTCCCATCTAACCAGACATGTCTGCAGCATTGGGTGGAGAGGTGGATGAGGTGGATGGAAGGGGAAAGAAGGACTCATTCTGCCGTGGCCGGCTCTGAAGATAGAGCAGCCAGGAGTGGGGCATTTGAGGGCTTCTGGAAGCTGGCTGGACCCCAGCTGATGGCCAGCACAGAAACACAGCCTCAGCCCTAGAGCTTTGAGAAGTGGAATTCTGACAGAGATGCAGGCAGGCCAGGGGCTGGACCCTCACAGGCACACCGCTGCTGGCACCTTGATTTTTGCCAGTGAGACCTGTGCTGGACTCTTGAGCCATGGACCTGTGCAATTACATTCATGGTCATTTTGTGTAATATCCACCCTGCCCTCTTCCCTTGCCACCTTCCCTGGAAAATATTCAGCACAGGTAACTAATGGAAACCCAGTCCAGGGTTTCTTTCCTGCTGGGAAAACACTGGGTGAACTGCAGGATGATGGCCATCCACAGGGCGGCCCAGGCGGGGTTTGTTCTCCGTGCTGTTGAGGAAGGTAGATTCTGAGCTGAATGGTCTTGTGGCTACTCTGCCCATCTCCAGGCAAAACTCCGAGTAGAGTCTGGAGTGAATGGCCAGCTCGTCCAGAAGAGCAGCCCACCACCCAGCACAGCATGCCGGGCCTGTCCTGCCGGTGGTGGTGTTCATGATGATGGAGCTAAAGCTGAGGGTCCAGGCCTTGCCCGTGTCGTCTCAGTTGGTCTTCAGTGCCACCCTCTGAGTTGGTGAAGTTGTGGTCCCTGTCTTATGGATGGCAGAGTTGAGGTTGCACAGTGAGCGCTCAGTGGAACTGAGCTTCAAATCTGGATCCAGGCATCACTTAGTCCTTCAGCGGGTACTTTAACCCTGCTGCGTGTCAGGAACTGTGTATCTTACATACAGTCCATAGTGTCATTCTTTAAAAGTTATTGTTTTCTCATTATAAAAATGAAGCATTTAATCACTATAGAAAATGTAGGTGTCTTGGAATATACAACAGATGGAAACCATAATTTAACTTGCTTCCTTTCAAAATATCACTCAATAAAATAAAGCAGTGATTTGAGTGGCATACCCCAGAAAAAGAAAATGGTAGAAGAGATGAAAGCAATACCATTTTGGAAGCTGGAAAGCAGATGGCAGACAGGTAGATGGCAGCTGCCTTGGCAGGTCTAAGAAAGCTGGCCCCAGGGAAGCAATCGGCTTATAGCAAGGCCACCAAAAGGCTCAGGAGTTGAAAGAAAGATGTCTCTGGAAATTGATGTAAAGATTCTGACACAATAGAACCACGTGAAAGATAGGGATGGAAGCTGGGGCCTCGTGCATGACAAACATGCAAGCAAGCACTTAGCCATACCCTGTCCCTCAGCAGACATTTGGAAAAGACTTGAATGTAGTAGCTTGGAGTGAGCCTGCCACTTCTTCTGAGAGCAACTTGCACAGCAGATGGAACAGAAGTCCTCTGTTTTAAAGGAGGGAGAGTTGCTAAAGGTTAGAAGAGACACAGATCTGCCCAGAGGGACAAAAGAGAAGTTCTGCCTCCTGCTTTTCCCCAGGGGCATTTGGTATCTTGGGAGCAGGATATGTGGGAGGCTGAGAACCCAGACTCTCTCCAGGCAGGGGACATTTCTGGGGAAAAAGACACTTATATGGCTTTGGTCATCACTTAGGCTAGACACAAAAATGAGAGACCCAGGGAGCTGTCCCCTGGAGATGCTTGCCAAAGATCTGGAGCTCCAGGGTGGGAAGGGGTTTTAAACTAAACACAGAGGTCTGAAAAGCAGAATGGAATCTGCAGCAGTCTCACAACGCGGAGACAAAGACTCAGGACCCTTAGAGTGTAAACACCCAACTTGCCTTTGAAACCCTGGTGTGAGGATCGTGTAGAGGTGGACTGAACCTTACCCGTGGCTCCCTCTGGCTGCATCAAGGTGGGCAAGTATAAAGATACAAACTGGCAAAATCCTAGCACTAAAGCAGTGCTAAGAGGAAAAGTCATAGCCATAAATAAATACTGTTGAAAACAAGGACAGCTGAGAATGAATGACCATGAAGCAAGACAAAGAAAGCAAATCAAACTCAAAAGAGTAGAAGGGAAGAAATGACGGATAAGGGCAAAAAAAAAAGTGAGTTGGTAGACAAGCATGTAGAGAAAAGAGATGAAGCCAAGGGCTGGTTCTTTGAAACATTTAATAAAAGGGAGAAAACAAACTGCGAGTATCAAAAATGAAAAGGAACACATTATGAATTATGAATCAGTAGGATATATAGCTTTATGTTGACAGATTTGACAAATTAGATGAAATGGACAGGAAAATGAATACTTACTAAAACTAATACAAGAGGAAATGAAAATATGAGTAGTCCTGTGTATTGAAGAAATTGAATCTGTTGAACCCCCCACAAAGAAGATCCAGATGGTTTTATTGTTGAACTATTTTAAACTTCACAGAAGAAAGTAAAGACCATTATGACCCCAATTCTTCCAGGAACTTGAAAAGATCTCATTTTGATAATCATACCTCATTTTGAAAACACCAGCACAACCTCAATTTGAAAAACTGCAAAGCGGGGAAGAAAAATTCCACATGAAAGATGAGCAGCTCCATCAACCATCCAAGGAACTCAGTTTAAAGCCCTCGTGTCCTGATCCGCAGACACACGGGCCTGGTTGTAACGGAGGCTGCTGAAGACAAGTCTTTTGAGGGGGCAGCAGTGGAACTGCACAGGTCCCTGCTGTGCTGCCATTGCCGCAGGCTGTGGGTGGCATCTGCCTGGGTGGTCACATGCCCCGCTCTGAGCCAGAGTCCCTCCCAGTGGACCTGTTTAAGCTGCACTTTGCACCCTCCCCCGGCCCTGCACAGGGCTGTCTGCCTGCCACTCAGTGGCCCCAAGTCCTTGTTCATCAACAGCAGAGTGTGAGTGAAGGGTGGCATGTCACTGCTTCAGATGCCGCGGGGCAACAAGAGAAAGCTGTGATTGTCACAAGGAGCCACACCCAGGTGTTCAACCTGAAACCCTCCAGAGCAAAATGAAAACAAGACATGCCCTGGGGGGAGGAGTGGCCGGCTTGGGCTCCTCCAGAGGCTGATGTTCTCCTCTGTCTAAGTGAGCCCCCTGCCCTGTGCTCATGGTGGGCTCAGGGCACCTAAATGACAGTTTCTGCTTTCAGCCGTGACTTTAGCCCACGGTGTTTCTTCATACAGTGCCAGGTAGAATCTGGTTCTCCCCCCACCCCCTCCCTGTTTCCCAGTAGCCTCTTCTCTCCTCCCTGTGGCTGTGAGGGGATTCCTGACTGGTGACAGGGGACTCTGTGTGGCGTCCACTGTCCTGTGAGGCAGCGTAGTGCTGTCCCCTCACCGATCTCACTCCTGTCCTGCACGGCTCTGGTGGGAGTGAGAACGCTGGGCACCGGCATGCAGGCCAGGAGCCCAGCCGGGGTGCCCTGCCCCACACTGGGACTCTCCCGGGAGTGCAGCTGTGCTTGGGGCTGCCTCATGCACCTGGAGGCCTTTGACTCTGTGCCCCTACTTGTCACCAGATGAGTTGGGCCACCCTCCGGACGACATTCCCAGCCCTGAGCCCTGCGCAGCTGCACCGGCTGCTCACTCAGTACCAGCTGGCCTCAGCCATGGGCCCCATGAGTGCCTGGGAGCCAGGCGCCCAGGACAGCCCCGACATCTTCCAGTCAGGTAAGCACACCTTGGGCAGGGCTAGGGGTCAGGGCAGGGGTCTGAGGACCTGCCTGCATCCCCAGGTCAGAAAGTGGCAGAGCAGCCCACTGGTACCTGCTCATCTGAAGTGGGAGTAGGGGTCCTTGGGCTTCTACACCTCCACTGGGCCACTCTGCCCCACCTAGAGACCCAGGAACCCCTGTGCTGGGGGTCAGGAGCTCCTGGGTCTGCGCCCGAACTCAGGCCAGAGGCCTCCCTCTGTCTGGGGTTCAAAGCCACGGGGTAGTCCAGGGCTCTGAGCACGTGAGCCGCTCATGGGCACACCTGTACACACGCAGCCTGGAGGATCTGTGGGCTACACACACATTTTCACCCCATCCACATGTGGGGGTCTGGGCAGGTCCATGTGGTTACAGCCTCACATAGTTGCGTATGAATTTTTAAAATAATTTCACATCCCACTGGTGAGCCTCGTTTAGGCCACAGCACCTGAGGTGAAGCCTGGCGGGGGAGGCTGCAGCCCCACCCTTTGAGCCGCTGCTGGCCACCGGTGGCAGAGGCCACCTCCAAGCGCACTCCAGGTTCTGTGTGATCCCCTCCATGGGCCCCTCCCCGCCACTCCTCTAGCCCAGCAGCAACTTCACTGTTAAGGTCCTGGCGCCCAGGAGGTGCTCACGCTGGAGGACGGAGCCCAGCACGCGCTTGGCCTTCCCATGCTGCAGCCTGTGCAGGGGTGGGGTCCCTCTGGGCCCTGACCCCTGGGCAGAGCTCATCCAGCTTCATAGGACTGAGGGGACCGCAGTCACCTGGCGATGCCCCAGGCAGGGGACTAGCGTGGGTTCAGGCAGGCTGGCCCCAGAGCAGCTCTCTGGGCTGTGGTGAGAGAGTCCCAGACTGTAAGGGCTTCGTCTTCTGTCCAGGAGCCTGGACACCCTGATGGGTGGTCATCAGAAGGAATGAAAGCCAGGTCATGGCTGGTCACCCTAAGATCCTACCCTCCTGTGTCCTTGGTGGTTTGGAGCTCAGCCTGCTGATTCAGTTCCTCAGTGCTAGTGGGGTGGCAGGTGACGGGAGGGCCACTCACAGTGTCCTTGCTCCTCTGCTGCTGCAGAGGATGTCCTGGAGTCCTATGATAACCCCCCGCCCATCGTTCTGCCGAGTGAGGGCTTCCAGGTGGACCTAGAGGCCGAGTGCCCGCGCGACAGCATCTACCAGCACCTCCTGTACATCCGGCACTTCCTGTGGGGCCTGCGGGGCCCAGCCAGTCCTGGTGGTGGAGCAGCCCGGGCCACTGGGATTGAGGTACCAGGGCATGGGTGTGCTTGGGGAGAGGGCCAGTCACTCGAGGCTGCCTGGTCCCTCCCCAGTGGGCTTCACAGCCCTCTTTTGATGATTAGAGTGGAAATGAAGGCAGGTCTGCTTAGAAACAGCTGGGGACTTAGCAGGGACCATTGAGTGATCTGGAGCTGCGACTGTAGGTGGTGGGGAGGCCTGCCATTTTAAATGATTCAGGCCAGCAGGTGTCCTTTCTGACCCTTTGTGCCCCATGCAGCCTCATGGCACAGCATCCTGCAGGGGCCCTGGGACCCTCTCCCTCACTGGAAGCTGGCCTGCCTGCTCCCCAGGGCCTGACTCTTGTCCTTCTCTCCCTAGGGTGTATACCATACCATCCCTGAGGAGCACCCTGAGGGCCAGGGCTGCCCCTTGGCTCCCAGGGATCCAGGCAGAGGAGCCCTCGAATCTACCCCTGTGCACTCTCTTCCTGTTGCTGGGGCTCCCCGGACACAGGGCCTCCTGGCAAGGCAGCCCAGCCGAACGGGCCACAGGGGCTCCCCCGCTGGCCCCCTGAACACGGACTCCTCATGCCTGCTCACGCCTCCCAGCAGCCCACTCGGCCTGGAGCCCAGAAGCCCTGGCTGGCCAGAACCAGGCAGCCCCTGTGGAAAAGCTCTCCCAGAAGGGCAGAGGAACGGGCTGGGCGGCCCCCCGGGTGCAGTTCTAGAAGGTAAGGCCCAGCTCATGCTTGGCCTACCTCAGGCCCTACTCTGTACCTTAACAGCAGGTTACTTTGTGTCATTCCTCCCTAAGAGCCTGTCCCCCAGCGCCAGCACCCAGCATGGTGGGCCAAATAGGAAGGAGCAGGGAAGCCAACCCCTGCTCAGGACTGGCAGCTGTGGCTGCCTCTCCGGCTGACACATTCCCCTGTCGGGATGCCCTGTGCTTAAGGTAGAGGACACGCACGCAGGTGATGGTTTCTGCTGGCTGAGCTGGAGCCTTCAGGAGGAGGGGTGTGTGCCCTGCTGTCTGCACCTGTGCGTGTGGGTGTGCAGGTGTGTTCTGTGGGGTGCAGTTCACAGCTGGGCCTGGTTGGAAAGGGCACTGCTGGCCAAGCAGCCCCCACCTGGCCCTGGCGAGGAGCACCGTGCTTTGTCCTCAGTGCTCCTGCTGAGTTTGGAAGGTGCCACAAGCTCATCCCGCCAATAGAGGCTGCGATGGGCACCGCTCAGGTGTGTGGGGACTGAGGTTAGAGAACTGTCAGGGGAGCCTCCAGACCAGACCCGGCTTTGCCCTAAGGCCCTGGCCCGGGTGACCCTGGTGGCATGAGTGCTACTGGAGGGAGAAGGCACAGGGCCCGCATGGTGGCGGTGGTGCATGCCTATAATCCCAGGGACTTGGGAGGCTGAGGCAGGAGGATCACAAGTTCAAGGCCAGCCTCAGCAACTTAGTGAGACCCTGTCTCAAAAATAAGAAGAGCTGGAGATGTGGCTCAGTGGTAAAGTGCCTCTGGGTACCAAAAACACCAGCCTGTGGTCTCAGGGTGGGTCACCAGCTGACTGGGGGTGGGGGGCAGGGTCTGCTTAGTGGTGGGTCCCCTCTGGGTGATTGGACATGGAGTCACCAGTACGGGGGAGGAGGAAGGAAAGGCAGTAGAGCCTGCTGGATGACCGCGTGTTGGAACCCTCAGGGTCCTTGCTTCCAGGAAATGGCCAGCCTGAGAGGGCCCATGTCCTTGGGCACTTGGTGGCTAGGACGAGGTGAGGCCCACACACAGGCCTGACCTTGACCCAGGCCTACAGCTCACATTGTGTCTGGATGGTGCCTTTCCTGGGCTCCACGTACTTCCCACCCGTGGTGTGTCTGCCCTCCGCGAGGTCCCCGCATCCTGATTCCTCAGCTGGGCACTGCCTCCAGCCCCTGGGCCCTTGTCCCTCACACCTCTCCTCCCACCAGGAGATGCAGCGGCTGCCGCGGATGAGCCCCCTGCAGCCCCCTCCAGCCGTAGCTCCAGCACCGAGGACTTCTGCTACGTGTTCATGGTGGAGCTGGAGAGGGGCCCCTCAGGCCTAGGGATGGGCCTGATCGATGGGATGGTGAGTGGGGCCTGGGTCCTCCCTGGACTGACCCCAACTCCTGCAGCTGCCCCTGGTCCCAGCTTGTGTGGCCATGTGGCCGTGGTCAAGTCGGGTGGAGGAGCATGGGACACCCCCCTTCATGGAAGGCTCAGCCTGTCCAAGGGACTTCTCTGGGGCCTGCTGTCATCTTGCATCCCTCCTCAGGCCTTTGAGGACTCTCCTGGCCCTTTGGGAGCAGGACTGGTGTCCATTCCTTTTTCTTACTGGATACATGATCATGAATGAGGCTGGCTGACTCCAGGGCAGGGCCTGCAGGTTCTGAGGGAGGGGCGGTGGGCCCTTGCTGGGGACTGTGTCGGTGCGGCAGAGCCCCGAGACCTCTGCTTTTCCCCAGCACACACCCCTGGGCTCCCCAGGACTCTATATCCAGACCCTGCTTCCAGGCAGCCCCGCAGCCTCCGACGGGCGCCTGTCCCTGGGAGACCGCATCCTGGAAGTGAATGGCAGCAGCCTGATGGGTGTCAGCTACCTGAGGTACTCCCCACCCCTGGCCCGTGCCGTCCTCGCAGTGGGGTGAGCCAGGGCGGGGCCCCCTGCAGACAGGGCTGGCCCTTGGGCACCCCTGGTGGGGAAGGTGCAGGACATTCGCCCCACAGGCCCCTCACCTGGGCGACAGCAGAGCAGAGGGGAGCAGGAGGCTCAGTCCAACTGCGCTGCTCGGAGGCCCTGGGTCCCACCCGCTCTGGGGCCGCTGGTGCTCCTGGGCACACCCTGACCTCCTTCCCTGGTTTCAGAGCCGTAGACCTGATCCGACACGGGGGCAAGAAGATGAGGTTTCTGGTGGCCAAGTCTGATGTGGACACAGCCAAAAAGATCCGCTTCCGCTCGCCCCCTCCCTAGGCGGGGCTGGGGGGACCCCCTCCCGCTGTCCACTGGCTGCGGTGGGTGTGTTTCTTAAACCCATGTGTTGTCCCCATGGTGGCCTCATGTTGAGAACACCCTGTTCCTGTTGTACATCTTAGTGTATATTTTATTTATATGACAGATGACACTAAGTTGTGGTGTTTCTTACAGAGCTTTTATGTTTAAAGACTTTGATGTTTCAGAAGTAGATGCAATAAACTATCTTTCATATTCCTAGTGGTGTCGCTGGGCTCTGCCATCTGTGGGCTCCCAGAACACCGCCGTGTGGGCAGCATTGCAGGGCTGCTGGGGGCTCTCCAGGGCCACTTGCCTCCCTGCCAGTGTGTAGAACCACCGCTGGGCCCAGGAATGGTCACTGTGGGTGGATTTATTTTGACTGACCCTTCCTGCCCCCTCCCTGCCAGAAGCAGGAGCAGCAGGAAACAGACCACGCACCCATCCAGCTGGGAAGAGGCCACACTGCCCATCATTGTGGGCTGATCTTTCCAATCACCTTGCTCGACATGTCCCAAAAGGAAGGGAGCCTGACACATCCCTGAGGGGCTGAGCCACCTGGGCCACCCTCCTGTCCCAGGAGGCCTCCTGCTCCTCCCTGATTCCTCTCTTATCACCAAAGCCAGTGGCTTGGCTCTGCTGCCAGGCTGGTGACCGCAGGCTCTTAATCTGCAGCTGATGTCCACCTGGCTAACTGTTCCCTCACCCTGGCTGGAGGCTGGCTTCCTTCTCACCAGTCACCATGGTGGTGGGGGGTGGCACACTTCTGCACCATGTGAGCGTGAATGGGGCCACGCTGGGCGTGTTCAGCAGGTTCAGCAGCTGGGTGACCTGGGTGCGGACGGCTTCCGCATCCTCCTGTGTGTGGAGCTGGACGCTGGGCCCTGGGCCAAGGTCCTCATCTTTGACAGGAACAGAGAGACCCTGGGGACAAGGCCTCAGTTCGTCAGTGCAGTGCACCCCTCACGTGGAAAGGCCTCCCCGGAGGACCTGACCCTCTGAAGCGGTGTCCTGGGTAGGTCTCAGCACTGGGCTCAAGCAGCTCTCTGGGCTCCCCTGCTGAGCACCAGGAGGCGGGGCCACACGTCTGCCCCAGGCCTTTGGCCACTGTTCCATTGCTTGCCCACACAGCACCCCACCCAGCTCCAACCAGTGGTCCCTGGCCAGGTGCCCCAAATGCTGGGAAAAGTGCATTTTTAAAAATGGCTGGACTCAGAAGGCAGGAAATCCTTAGCCCAGCACTGAAGTGAGGGCACAGGTTCAGAGAGGCTGCGGCTGGCTTGGGCGGCTGGGCTGCGGGGCTCAGCACTTCACACTTCTGCTTTGGTTACGGGGCCTGAGAGGTAGAGGAACAAGGCCACCTGCAGCTGGGAGCGGCCGGGAGCTCCGCTTCCTCCAGAGTTCCTGAAGGGCTGGGCCCTGGGGAGAAGGCCTAGGACCACCATTAACAGACCTCTCAGAGCCGACTGCACATGGGGCTCCTCAAGTCATTACAGCATTTGCCCATTTAGTCCTGAAGATGTTTTCCAGAGAGACCGTGGGTAGACACATCAGTCAGCCATGGCCATAATTCAGTAAAGGGGGGGAAAAGTCAGAGGGCTGAGCATCTTAGAACAAAAGCATTTATTCCCACTCGGGCCTCCTGCGCTGGCCTGCAGGCATGGCCTGGTAGGAGCTGGCTGCATCTCTGCATCTGCCCCTGCTCCATGCTGCTCCCACCTCGCCCGACACACGAGCTGGGGCATGTTCTCACATCAGTGGCAAAAGTGCAACAGGGCAAGCAGGGCCCCTGAGCACATTCCTGCCTCCTGTCACCTCTGGGGATGCCCTGTGGGCCGCAGCAAGTCCTGTGGCCAAGCCCCAAGTCCAGGAGTGGCACGTACACACCACAGCAAGGTGTGCACATGTGACTCTCCTCCAGAGGAGTAGACAGTTGAGACCAGTGATCAAGTCTACCACAGGGAGACAAGCCAGGATCTAAACTTGGGGGGTTTGACTCCAGACCCTTCCTACCCTGCAAAGAAATGGTAGGGGGATGTTTCTGGTTCCATATAAACCAGAAAAACATGCCCTCTCAAAAATATATAATGGTAAGCTAGTGACCGTGCAGGGCTAGGATCATCTCACAACGTCTGGATGGTGTGGAGACACCCAGCCTGAGCCTGTAGTTGAAAGTGACCCTCCCCCGTCCCCAGGCATGTGGCAACAACAGCTAGGAGTATCTTCTCAGATGAACATATCCTCAAGCCAGGCCTGCTCAGACGCCAGCAGGTGATCAATGAGCTCATAATCAAAATCACAAAACAGAAATAACAGGCTACAAAAATAACCAAATACCATCTACAGACACTTCAGTTATTGGAGTCACAGATTATAAAACAAGCATCATATGCTTGCAGAAATGAAATAGGAAATTCAAAACACAATTTAAGGAATAAGAGATTCTTCAAATGGCCTTAAACTAGATAGATCTCCTAGGAGTGAAAAGTAGAATCATTGATATTAAAAATTCAGATTAACCAATGAGACAGACAAAAAGATAATGAACTGGAAGAAAGAGTTGAAAATTCTTCATCATACAGTGTGCAAAGTTAGATCTAAAATGTGAACATGAAGGTTGAGACCCAGAATGAGTAGGTGCAAAAAAAATTTGCAGCAATTAGAGTTCTGGAAGGAGAGAGAGCACATAAGGGAGAAGCAATTTTTAAAGCACTAAGGGCTGACAATTTACCAGAATTGATAAAAGACTAAAATCCTTAGAATCACAAGGATCAATGAATCCTGGAGAGTAAAGCAAAAGATAACTACACTTAAGTACATTAAAATGAAACTATGGAGCCCCAAAGACAAACAGAGGATCTTCACAACTGCCAGAGGTTAGGGTAGATCTCCAGAAAAATGCCTCAGCAGAGTGCTAGCCTCTCCCCAGACAACAGAGAAACAGCAAACAGTGGTCTCTCTCCAGGGATGAGGAAAAGCTATTTAATATAGAGTTATAAACCCTCCTAAGGAATCTTCCAAAAATAAGGGCACATTTAAGATATTTTCAGATAAACATTGAGAGAAATTAGTACTGATAGACACCAAAGAAATTGTACTTGATGAAAATCACGTCTGCTGGAAGGTCTAAGATGGCAAAATATATGATAGGCAAATAAACAGGGCAGATAATTATAAAAGCACTATATAAAGCAACAAGAGTAGCATCTGATTCGGGAGGTGTTTAAATAAAAAGTCAGTGGGAAAATTCAGGATACCAGCTGCATGTATGTTCTTTCATTATTTTGGAGATACTAATGTTACTGGTTAACTTTAGACTTGGTTAAGAATATATATTGAAATTTCAAGGGTGGCCACTGAGAGAATAGAAAGAATATTTAACTTTCAAACAAACAGAGGAGAAACATGGACTATGAAGAACAAAAATCCAAAGGTGGAAAGGGAGGGGGGAAAAAACAAAATAAGGTACTTACTTTTAAATAAGATAGTAGAAATTTATCCAAAATTATTAGTAATCACAACAAATGCAAATGGACTGAGACTGGTTAAAAGTCAAAAGATCATCAAACTAGATAAACATAATCTATGTAATATTTATAATAAACATAAAACAAAAGAATGTATAAAAATTAAAGCTAAAACGATGGACAGAGATATAGCAGATGGATAAAGTAATTAACATTCAGTTCTCCAGGAAGATGAAACAACTCTAAACTTGGATGCACCTAGTAACATTTTTTTCAGAATACATAAAGCAAAAATCAGAGGGAAACATGGATGAATCCTCTATCATAAAGGGAGGCCTAAGCATAAATCTCAGTAATTGGTAAATCAAATAGGTAGAAAATCAGTTAGGATATATGAATGAGCAAAAGAGACAAGGACCATCCTTCCTTGACATCTTGGAAATTAAATACCATTTTTTCCCTAGGCTGACAATAAACAAATTCATAGATGTTTTTGTCAGATTTTTCATCACTGTGACCAAAAAGACCTGACAAGAACAACACAGAGGAGGAAAAGTTGATTTTGACTCACTTTCAGAGGTTCAGTCCATGGTGGGCTTACTCCACAGTTCTGGGCCCCAGATGAAGCAGAACAAAACATTATGGCAGAGGCGCATGATAGGAAAGCAGCTCAGAACACGGCAACCAGGAAGCAGAGAGAGAAAGCGAGGGGCAGCATTATTCTCCCCAGGGACAAAACAGAAACCCCAAAGGCACACCCCCAGTGGCCCACCTCCTCCAGCCCCCTACTTGCCTATAGTTACCACCGTGTTAACTCATATAAGTGGATCAATTCACCGATTAGGTTAGTTACACCAATAATTTCGCCTGTGAAAATTCTTGCATTATTTCATACATGAGCTTTTGGGGGACCCTTCATAGCTAACCCATAATAATAGGTTAAGACAGAGTGCACAGTAATCCATGCTTCAGAGGAAAACAGTGCAGCTAGATGAGATGGGCAGCATGTGGATGGAGAAAGAGGATGGGGAGGGGGGCGGTAGTTAATTTGCAGTGTGTCTATTAATTCATTGATAAGGTGTCATCAGTGCAAAGAGCAGGAGATGAGGAACAAGCCAGTGGATGTCTGGGTGGCAGACCACTCCCAGGAGGAGCAACACACACAAAGGATTTAGACTGGGCGCATTTGTGACTTAACAGGACCGGAAGGCCAGTGAGGCTGAAGCCATCAAGGGGAGTTGTAGACAATTGGCTGACAGTGTTTGGGGGCCCAAGGACTTTGGATTTTAGTCTGGGTGAGACGAGAATTTATTATGAGACTTGGGAGCAAAAAAGCTATGAGACTTAATAGAATTATTTTTAGCTGCATTGAGTGACCAACTGTATTGTCATTTGTACTGAGAACAGAAGCAGGAAACTCTGATAGGAGGTTATCACAGTGACCCAGGTGAGACGTTGGTATCTTGGAGCAGAGTGTCATCAATTCTAATTGGTGGAGTGAATTCAGCTACCTGCTGGGAGGCAGACTTTTTTTTTTTTTTTCAGTGCTGGGGATCAAACCCAGTGCCCCACACAAAGCAGGCAAGCACTGTAGCAGAGCCACGCCCCTCACTCTTACCAATGTAACATGTGAATGGAAAATAATCCCTATAAGACAAACAACAATAAGTGTTGTCGAGGATGTGGGGGAAAAAGTACACTCATACATTGCTGGTGGGACTGCCAATTGGTGAGCCAATATGGAAAGCAGTATGGAGATTCCTTAGAAATCTGGGAATGGAACCACCATTTGACCCAGCTATTCCTCTCCTTGGACTATACCCAAAGGACTTAAAAACAGCGTACTACAGGGATATAGCCACATCAATGTTTATAGCAGCACAATTCACAATAGCTAAACTGTGGAACCAACCTAGGTGCCCTTCAGTGGATGAATGGATTTTTAAAAAGTGGCATATATACCCAATGGAATTTTACTCAGCAATAAAAGAGAATAAAATCATGACATTTGCAGGAACAAAGGAGTTAGAGAAGATAATGCTAAGTGAAGTTAGCCAATCCCAAAATACAAATGCTGAATGTTTTCTCTGATATAAGGAGGATATAAGGACTCATAGTGGAGTAGGGAGGAAGAGTAATGAACTCTAGATAGGACAGAGGGGTGGGAGGGGAAGGGAGGAGGCAGGGGATTAGCAAGGAAGGTGGAATGTGATAGACATCACTATCCAAGTACATGTATGAAGATACGGATTGGGTGTCAACATACTTTATATACAGAGATATGAAAATTGTGGTATATATGTGTATTAAAATTGTGATGCAAAAAACCCAAAGTAGATGTATAAAGGCATGAATTGGCGTGAACATACTCTATATATAGAGATATGAAAAATTGTGCTCTATATGCATTCCACTGCTGTCATGTATTAAAAAAATAAAAATCAATAAAAGATAAAAAAATCCCTAAAAGACTGATTGCAGTGTGATATTGTTTTGTAATGCTAAAATTAAAGGGAAACAATATATTTTGAAGGATACTATTTATGTGTGTGGGGGATCCTATATTTCAAGGAAGTCGATGAAACTAATGGCTCAGGACTGGGATGGCAGAACAGGAGAATGGATGGCCAGGAGAACCTGGGTAGATGTAGGATGTCACCTGGGTCCCAGTTCTGGTGCTAGGTGGTAAATGAATCTGTGCTTATTAAATTATATGGTAATCAACGAAAATAAAAATGCTGTGCAATCTAGGTCAGAGATGATGGTATTAAAGGTCAGGGATAAAGCTCAGTGGTAAGTACAACAACTAGAACTTTCTTTAAGCAATGCAAACTATAGTTATTGAACATTTTTTTAAAACAATTTTAAGCGATCTTTTTGTTATTGAACATTTTTAAGTTTTATTGGCATATAATTCAAATACCATAGAATTTATCAGTGGTTTCTAGTATATATTTAGAGTTATACAAATTTCCCTACAATCTAGTCAGTGACATTTAAAACATTAATGAAGAATTAAACAGGAGATTTAGTCACAAAAGAGAGGATTAGTGAACTGAAAAAAGGTCTGAATAATATATCTGGGGTTAAGCATAGAGAGGTAAAAAGATGGAGAAAAGAAGTTTAATTTAGAAAGAGAGAGAAAAAGGGACATTTCATGCAGTGTTTTTAAAATCCCATTCATGAAAATCAAGACCAACCTCCTCTTTAGTTTGGGAAGTATAACAGCCCAGGTGCACATTTTCCGAAATTCCAACTTGGATTTGAGAACTCTGATTTTATCACTGGCAACAAAGACTCTCTGTTGTTTTCCTTCAAGTGACCCAGTGTTTTATTCATTTCCTAGCAATGTCTGCCAAATACCCACATCTGCATAGCTTGTCCTTCTTTCAAATAACAGTGTTGGCTTAAAAAAAATAAAAGAGGCTCAACTCACAAGAGAGCCCTGCACAGGCCCCCACACTGCGTGGCTTGAGGGCAGTCTGTGTCTAAGAGGCCCAGGGCTTGGAGTGCGTGCCCCATGTAGTCACCGCGGGTATTAGAAGAGCTTGTGTCCTAGGGAAGTATTGAATAAAGTTAAAATTTGCTACTGCTCCATCAAGGACATCTTAAGTGAAATCACACTTCTCGCAGAACATGAGCATGTGGAGGGATGAAGAACACGATTGTGAGTGCAGGTTGGCTGACCTGTCACTGCTTTTGCCCACTAAGGGCAAATCTCAACGTCTAGGATGAGGGGCAAGATTTAAAAAAGTAAACACTTTGAACACTTCTAGCCATATGTGTTTGTGATCAAGCATTCACAGGAAGGTCTATGATATTGGTGCTAAAAGAAGATATGAAAACGTGCCAGCCCGTGGGTCCCTGGATCAGCCAGGGAGTCCAGAGCCACCAGGTGAGGGCAGGAGAGGGGGCAAAGGCACCACGGGACTTCCTTAGGGATGGGAAAGTGGCTGGGCTGCCTCTTCTCTCTCAGCCAGAGGACCAGCCCGGCTGGCGCTGGCCGGAGGAGTGCACGCCCTCTCCAGTCATCCCAGGGCACATCCCAAACGCATGGCTGAAGCTGTGTGCGCCATGCAAGGTAACATGCCATCTGCATTCTACACGTGAACACGACAAACGCAATACTCCAAACCGTGCAGGCGCAGTTTCCTCCGTCCCCGGCTTTCAGGGTGGCTGTCCTCACCGGGGCTAATCGGCACAGGTAGGCACGGTGAGGGCTTCTGAGACACACCCGTCCCGGAGTTCCTCTTAACCTGGCCGTGACCCCAGCTGGCGGGGAGGGTGGGATGAGCTGGGTCAGGAGGTCGTGGGCCGGGGCTGTAGCTTTGCAGGACCCTTTAGGTTAGGGCCGAGGGGCACCCGTGGGCGCAGAACCTCCCCGCCTAGACCTCCGCACCACCGGGAGTCTGGCGTCGAGGGTGGGGCCTGAAGGCCGCCTGGGCTGGCCAAGAGGCCCGTGGGAGGCAGCGCCACCTCGTGGCCGATGCTTTCCAGCGTCGGGCAGAGCCTGGGGCCACCACGGGCTCCTGGGCGGGGGCGGAGAAGGTGGTTCTGTGGCTTACACACTCAGTCCTGGGCCCAGCATTTTGAGAACGGCTGCCCGTGGCAGGTGGTGGGAGCCTGCAAAGGTGACAGCACTCCAGCTGTCCCCTGCTATGTCAAGACCTCATACTTGTGCCTTCAAGTTACTGAGGGAAATAAACAGGGAACCTGTCCATGTCCCGTTAATAACCGGGGACACACTGCTTCCTGTGGGTGATGGATTATTTTTTGTCAGGGTGCTGTGCAGTGGGCAGGGCTGGTGCAGTGGGCAGGGCTGGTGCAGTGGGCAGGGCAGGCCCTGCCTGTCTGGCCAAGCCATGCCCTGGGACTGGGCAGCAGCTCAGGGCAACTACTGCACTCCCTGGACGCTGTCCTCCTGTAGGGGTGCAGGAGGGAAGAGGGAAAAGAACCTGCAGCTACTCACACAAGCTTTTAAAGGTTTATTCGTACTGTATTTCTCACGCTGCCAAACTGTCCAGAAACAGGAACAATGGGGCAGGGTCTGCAGCTTCTAGCCGGCCCAGAGAAAGCGTGAGGCCACCAACTACAGAGGCAAGGGTCAGACACACCCCTGAGGCTGAGCCACCTGGCCACCTTCCTGTCCCAGGAGGTCTCCTGCTCCTCCCTGATTCCTCTTATCACCAAAGCCAGTGGCTTGGCCCTAATACCAGGCCGGCGAACCTCAGGCTCTAAATCTGCAGCCGACATCCATATGGTCAATGTCCCCTCACCCTGGCAGGAGGCTGGACTCCTTCTCCACCAGCCGGCTGACCATGTGCAGGGCCAGGGGCAGTGATGTATTGGTGTCACGGTGATAGCGAGGGTGGCACACTTCTGCACTAGGTGTGAACACGAACTGGGCCACGCTGGGCATCTTCAGCAGGTTCAGCAGCTCAGTGGCCCGGATGCGGATGGCTTCTGTATCCTCCTCACTGTGTGTGGAGCTGGAAGCTGGGCCCTGGGCCAAGGTCCTCATCTTTGACAGGAACAGAGAGACCCTGGGGACAAGGAGGTCCAAGCCTGTCAGCTGCAGTGTACCTTTCTTCATGGAGGGATCCAGACCCCTGATGCACATGGTGGCCTGGCTGTAGCCTGGCAGTGCCCACCCCCAGCCAGGACCCTGTGCAACACCAGGACAGACATCAGAAGTGTCTCTTCCCCATGGAAAGCAGGGTTTCCATCTTTCCACTCCCTAACCCAGTACCTGGGGATCAGGTCCTGGCTCCGGGAGGCCAGTTTGGTCAGTGTGGTCATGAGCACAGTGACAACCTGTGGTGGATGCCTGGGCTGGTCTGCTGAGGGGCGGGATTGGGTGACCTCAAACAGTAAGGCCTCCAAGGCTTCGAAGAATTTGTTGATCTGCTCCACGGTGCACCGCCTGTCGCAGGTCACTGACAGATACTCGCCGATGGCCCACACCTAAGCCCAGGACGGAGGCTTAGCCCCTACTGCAGACTCTCCTCTGTCAGCAGAGGGCGGGAGAGGCCAGGCCAGCTTACCACGCTGGTGAACACGCCTGCTCTGCTGTGGATGGTGCTCATGCTTCCCACGAACTCCAGGAGCTCTCTGGCCAGCTCCACTACCAGGGAGGGATTCCGCTGACACAGGGCCAGGAACTGAGAGCTCAGCACCCTGCTCGGAGAGCAAGATGTTCAGGCTCCATGCAGCTCTGCAACTCTCAGGCCTGCCCATTCATTCAGTCTAAGAGCCAGGAGGTGACCCTAGAGCCACGGGTGGCCAGGTGCAGGTAACTCCTCACCCAAAAATCAGAAGATGAGGATCCTCCCCACCCCTACAGGGCCTTTCGCCTCACTGGAGAGGTGACCAGGCCTGTGTTGTCCTCAGTCCTGGACTTGAGGGAGGCCTGTCAGGCCTTTAGGAAAAAAAATGACCCAAAGGGCAAGAGGATTGGGAAGGAGGACTTAAGCCGGCCCTGGAAACAGGCTTAGGGGAGGGAAGGACAAGAGAGCATTCTGGATTGGGGGCTGGGCTGGGGCAAGGCTGGGGGTGCACGTGGAGCTGCTGTGGGCATGGCAGGATTGAGGCTGCTGGGGACAGCCAGGAGGGGAGGGGAGATGAGCCTGGGGGCAGAGCTGCGGCAGTGGAAGTGGAGGGAGGGTCTGAGATGGGGTTGCTCAGTGTGGGACCTGCTCCCACCATGGGGTGAGGCCCACCTGTGCACGAGGGCCTCATACTGCGGGACCTGGTAAAGTGAGTCGCTTCTCTCCAGGAGCAGCAGTGCCAGCTGGGTGGTCAGGGCCCTGTCAGCAAACTGTGGGTCAAGAGCAAAATATGGACACACTGGACACCACTTTCTGGACATCCCAACAGCGGAAGGGGAAGACCCAGGAGCTGGAAGGGAGGCCCTTGTCCTTCCTTCTGAGTGGCCTCCCCCAGCACTCAGGACCAAGCAGACAGAGTGAGGGGTGCGAGGGGAGCTGGGGGAGGGCTGACTGGGAGGGGGAAAAAAATCCCTGGCCCCAGGTGCCCTGGCAGGACCCCACTCCTGACCTGTGGCTCCCCCTGCAGGAGCCAGCCTGTGAGGCAGGGTGCAGTCTCGCTCAGCTGCAGCGGAGCCCAGGCTGCCCAGCCCGCAGCTAGCCCCGTCGTGACCAGCCTGTCTCCAGGGGCCCCACCTGGGTTGAGCTCCCTGGGTGCAGCCAGTGGGAGCCACCAGCATGTAGGAAGCCTGGAGCTCCGGGACACACGGCTGGCTCTAGCTGGGGCCACCAGCCCCTCCAAGCCACTTAACCCTGCCCTGGGGACAGGGAACAGGACCTGGCTAGGGCTGTGGAGTGCATCCTCTCCATTTCTGACCCTTAGAGCAGCCAAAGAGTGCAGCAGGATAACCGTCTGCAGAGGTCACGGGCAGTGCCACAGTCCTTACACTGGGCCAGTGCCCCCGCTTGAGGCCCACGAGAATGGGGAACTGGACAGTGGGCTCACCTGGATCACAGCAGAGAAGAATGCCTGGAGCAGGGCGGGCACTGCCTCGGCACACTGGGCCACCCGGGCACAGCTGGCCATGGGCTGCAGCAGCTGGTGGAGCAGCGTCAGCCTGGGGACACAGTGGGGCCGCTCAGTGTCTCCAATGCCCCCCACCTGTGGAATTCCACAGGCACCAGGAAAGGACAGGACAGACACAGTGGTCGGTCACAGGGGGCCACCTGCCACTGTTCATGTCAGGCCCTGTCCCCATCACTGTCTGCTTGCTCTTCAGGACGACACCCACCGACAGGGCTCAGGGAAGCCCTGAGGTGTCAGCACACCCAGGAAAATGGGCCTGGCCGGCGGAGCCGCAGGGTCTGCTCGGGTTGCCCCCTCCCGGAGCATGCCAGGCCCCAGTGTCACCGTCTGTAAAGGGTGTGTTCACAGCACCAGCTCAGGGTTCTGGAATCTGAAGGAGCATGTCCAAGACTGGCTGTGCTTAGAGGCCACCCGGCGACGTGAGCTAGTCCTCTGCAGGGCTGGTGGCCACAGCTGTCTCCCAGGTCTGGGAGGAACACAGTCCCACGAGACAGGGAACACACAGGGCCCCACAGGGAGCACCACCCTGATGACAGTTGTCCGGTCACTGAGCCCCACCTCTCTGCGGAGCCACTGGCTTTGGTGCGCAGCAGGTGCTGGAAGAGACCCTGGCACTGCGGGTCGCGGAAGGCCTCCAGGCAGCCGGGAGTCCTGACAGAGGCGTCCCACAGGGGCCTTTCAGATGGGGATGATGATGATCTGTGTGAAAGCAGAGAATACGAGGCCTGGCTAATACGGCTCCTGGCACCAGATTTGGTCCCTGGCGCCCGGGTCACCAATGATCAGAGAGATGTCACAGTAACATCAGTTTCTTGGGGTAACAGGGAAGGACCCTTGGGACTTGTGGGAGGTCCTCCCCGTGAACATGAAGACAGGCAGGAGGCTCAGGGGCTGCCCTGAGTGGGTGCTCAGCACAGCACAGCACAGCATAGCGTGGGGGCAGCTTTCCAGGGAGGGGGCGAGAGCTGGAGTGGTAATGGGGCCGAGGGGGCGGGGGGGGAGCAGGGTCCACCTGAGCTGCAGGTACAGGGCGGCGGTCAGGCAGGGCAGGTCCAACAGCGTGTGCAGCATCTCCACGGCTGTGCCGGCGTCCACCAGAGCCGGGAGGAGCCCTACAAACTCGGAGGTGAGGGGAGGGCTGTTCCATGCCAGGAACTGTGGGAACAAGAAGCTCAGCTGGAGGCAGCGGCTTTGCTCTCCCCAGGCGGGACCCGCCTCTGCCCCTCCTTTCACATTTTCTTGTTTTTGCTGCCAGTTTTGGTGCAACAATTAAATCAACTTTTTAACCACCTGTTAGGTTTTTTTCTTAAGATAACTCTCTAAATGGATGTGAGAAGCCACCGGGCCTCTACACCTCGCCCTGTACCCCACATCTCGGGGCCCAGGACTGCATGCTGGGGACAGGCCCTGGACCCTGGCCCGTGTCCCCCTAGGACTACCGCACATGCCTTGAACAGGTTGGGGAAGCTTGACTTGAGGATGCCGAGGAGGTGAAGGTCGAACAGGGGAAGGTTGTCCCTGCAGAACCGGATGACCTCAAAGGCCAGCATGGGGTTGTGGAAGTGCTCAGAAGGGAGCCTGGAGAGCAGGTGCTGGTAGATGGCCTCTGAGCCCACGGCTGCCGCCTCCCCTGGAAGGCAACAGACCCGTCTGGGCAGGAAGGCCTGCTGCAGGCGCCGCTGCAGGCGCCTCTTCAGCGCCGTGTGGCGAGGCATCTCTGCTGCCCCTCGGGGCCCCTTGACATCTTGGCTGAATCTTGAGGCCAGCATAAGCCTCGAGCACACAGACTCCAGAGACGTCCCAGACAGGAAAATCCAGGAACCCCAGAGCGCCTCGGGAAGGTGCTGAATCCCAGCTTCTGGGTTCCATAGCCGCGATGTGGTAAAGACAGTTCTGAGCCTGACACGAAGCTGAGAATGTTTTGTTTCACTATTTAAAAAATAAAGGGAACCACCATCGGGGCCAACAGCCCCTGGAGAAAGTAATGCTCTATAACTGAGGACAGAAGGGCTGTCCTTTCATGCGGACTCTCCTCCCCAGCTTGGGGCTTACCGTGATTCAGGAAGAACTGGGCAAGGGGCAGCACTGCCCGTTCGCTGCCTGGGTCTGTGCCCAGTCGCGTGTGGAGAGCCTTCAGGCAAGAGAGGGTGCGGTACAGGAAGGAGGGGTCCTGGCGGCACAGCACGTCCAGGATCAGTATGGCTTCCACAAGGCACTGCAGGGACACCCAGGCCATGTCAGGGTGCTGAGCACTGCCACTGCCCCAGCCACCCCAGCCGGCCACTTACGGCTTTCTGCAGGTCCGCGTCTCCCTTTCGCAGGGCTCCTGGTAGGAAGGAAGTCAGCTCACCTCTGGCCCCGCCTTAAATAGCCCCGTGAGAAGGTGCCTGTGTTCTGCAAGCTCCAGGTGAGGACAGGGAATGGCTGGCTGGGAGAGGGCATGAGGTGGCGACCAGGGCCCACAGGGTGCAGGATGGGATGGGACGGGCCTGGCAGGGTCGCAGGCCTACAGGTTTGGTCACTGCAAGCTCATCCTCAGAAACAAGGAGGCCCCTGAGGCCGAGCAGCCTCCTTTGAGCAGCTCAGTGAAGACCTGCTGCCCTCAACCACACCTGGCAGGAGGGGAGCTGGGCTCGGGGGCAGTCCTGGGCATGGTCCAGGCAATGGCCTGAGGACTTACGTCTATTACTCTGCTCAATGAGACGCTGGCAGTATTCAAAGGCCGCCTCCCTCAGCCGCTCCCGTGGGGGCAGCAGGCGGGTGGCTGTGGAGGCAGCGGAGAGCACAGACAGGGTGGAGCCCTCCAGCTCTGACTTGTCATCTGTAGGAAGAGGGGCAGCTCAGCAGGACAGTGTGGCCCACGGTCAGTCATACTCAGCTGCCCCTGCATGGATGGGTAGGAAGAGGACACCCACTGGCCGGCCCAAGTAGCCACGTGGCCCCAGAGCCTGTGCACTGCACCTGGCAGCTTTCACCCCACACTGGCTGTAGGCACCTGTCTGGATGCCAGCTGTTTCACCGTCTATGAACCAGGGGTTTACTGAAGAGAAGGAATTCAGTGAGGCTGTCTCAACAACTACATGGCTGTTGGCCATACATGAGCCCTCTCAGGCTTCTCTGGGCCATCACGAGAGTCACTGGCACATCTAAGAAGGGTCCCTAGTGCTGACTGAGGCCCTGGGGGAGGCTGATGGTCTGGGCCTCGTTTTCTGTTGTTCCCAGCTCAGCAGGCCTTGCTGCTGGCCTCCTGGACTGCCACACACCTGTGCCCCCCACCTCCCACCCGCATCTGAGGATCTGTGCACCTACCTCCTACCCTCGTCTGATCTTTGTCTCCCCCTGGCTCACCTGTGTCCAGGGTACTCGGGCCCTCGGGGCTTTTGTGCAGTAGCCATGCCCGCAGCATGGAGAAGGCCTGAACGTTCAGCCACTGGTCCTCTGTGAAGTGCTGGCCCGTGGAGAGCACCGTGAAGAAGTCCGAGGCCACTGCTCCATCAACCTCAGTGATGGGGCCTGGCTGGGGGAGGAAGGACAGGGGCTGGGGGTTCTCTGGGCCAGCTGGGTGCAGAGGCTGAGGCTGGGGAACAGCCGACAGGTTCACAAGCTACCCGGGAGGGCGGAGAGGACACTGCAGGTGGACGTGAACTCAAGCACGGCCCAGGGATGTCAGCCCCGAAGCCCACCCATCCTGACCCATCCCGACCCTACATCGGAGGTTGCCTACTCTTCCGGGTCCAAGCAGCAGCCACCTCATGACATGCAGACACACCACACGACCCCAGGGCAGACAGTGTCCTGCATCCTCTGGGTGTCAGTCCCACACAAACCTCCAGAGCCACACAGGCTAAAGGACTGTGGCCTCCTGACCCAGGGTCCCCAGTGGAGACAGCAATGAGGGATTCTCCCAGAGTCAATGGAAGGAGAGATGTTGATGGGAACCTCATGGTCAGCTGACTGTGGGGACACAGAACTCCCCAGAGGGGGCAGATTCTGTGATTTCAGTTCTGAGATCTCTAAGCAGCTTGGGCTCACCTGCCGGGCCCTGGGTGTGGAGAAGAAGCCCCCTGAGTGTGGGAGCCCTTGCTGGACACTGGCATGGCGGAGCCAATCCACAAGCCGCTTGCTGAGGAGGTCAGTCTGGTCTGTGGTGAGGGGTCCCATTGAGGAAAACAGTTAAACACTGCGGACGCCCAAGTCCCTCGTGATGCTGGTGGAAGTGGCTCAGGAAACAGGGCCCTACAGGGCGTGATCCAGGGAGCCTGTCGTGTTCCCCAGGGAACCCACCCCACCTCTTCCCACACCCCCCCATGGGAATGCTGGACAGAGGGGCCAGGAGGGAAGACCCGAGTAGGTGCCTCAGGAATGGGCCTGTGTACCTTCCTGGAGGGTCCCTGGGGCAAGGCCCACCACCTTTGACAGGACAGGGAGGAGGTGCCTCAGGCTGGGCCCCTCGGGCTGCCGGCTCTCAAGGACTCTAAAGATGCGCTGGCCCACGCTTCTGACCTCCTGTCTTCTGTCACCCTTCAAAGCAAACAGGGCAGGTGCTGAGGTGCTGCCTCAGCCCTCATGCTGGAGTGAGACCCCCACATCAGAGGTCTACAGGAGGCTCTCTGAGGAAACTCCGTCCTTGTGAGCCCCTCCCTGATGTGACTCTTAGAAAAACACATCCCTGTATGGTTTGGGGCAGGGCCTCTGGGGCTGCCATGTGAACAGAGGTTCAGGGACCCAGTCTCCTCAGAGCCAGGTGGCAAGGAGCGGGCACCAGGTTGGATGCTCAGGGACAAGGAATCTGGGCCTGAGCTGCTGGTCACTACCATGAGTGGCTTACAAGGCTTCCTGTGGGCATGTGCACCCCAGGGGCTTCCTGACCTCCAAATGGCAAGGCCACCCAGGTTACGGAGGAGGCAGGTACAGTGGGTGGCACTTCAGGATGGCTCCTGGGCAGCCATGCTCCTGGAAGCACAGGTCTGGCCTGCTCTGTCAGGCACGTCAGTCACCTCTCGGTGAAACTCCTCTGGGTAGTCCCTTCACGACAGCAAGGCCTCTGATCTGGAGACACCTGGAAAGCAGAATGCCACTGCTCCCCTGGTCACTAATGCTACCCGTACACGTGTGTAGTAATGTCGCCTAAGCAGCCCCGACTCCGTGGCCTGATCTAGCCTTCAAAGGAGTCCTGCGTGGCTCCTTCCCAAGGAAGAGAGGACACAGGCAGGAACCTGCCCTTTCTGGATGTATCTGAGCGCCAGGAGGTTTGGGGGGGGGGGTGTTCACCAGCGGTAAAAGCTGCTGAAGGCAATGTGAACCGAACCAAGTAGCCCACCCAGTCTATTGGGCACAAGCAGGGTCACAGGCAGCTTGCTGTGCTCCCCCCAGGGCCCAGGACCACCAGAGGCAGGACATTCACCCTGAGTGGCAACAAGCTCGTTACCTGGGCTAGGAGCACAGATGCCACCAGACTCATCTGCCGGGTGTTTGGGGCACGATCACAGGATAGGGTCAGGCTGTCAGAGGGTGACATCTCTCTCAGAATGGCAGCACAGAGGACCTGGAGCTGCTCGGGGCACGTAGGCAAGCAGAGGGTGGCCTGCAGCAGGTCCACGCATGTCTTGTCCAGCCTGGAGGTTGAGACCCAGTGGGCAACACATCACACCCTCTGCAAGGGCACCCGGCACCCCCAACGAAGCTGGCCTGGGTCCATCTGGCAGGTGGACTGGATATTTTCCCATGAGGCCCTCTGGTGTTGGTTTTCAGGGACACAGAGGCTCAGACAGCGAGCACACCACCACCCTGCAGGACATACCAGGCTGCCTCAAGGGGCAGAAGCAGCTGCCTCACACTCACCTCCGGGGATACTTTGTGGCGAAGACAATGAGGAAGAGCCTCTGCAGGGCGTCCACAGCCGCTGGGCCCAGGTCCTCCCGCAGCAGCTTGATGACCCGGGAACAGAAGCCCTGCAGCTCCTCATCCTGGATCTCCCTGAGGAGGAAGGGCATCAGCAGCTTGCCTTGTGCCTGAGGACCCCGCGGTGCTGCCTGAGCAACGGCAGCAGCCCTCCCAGCCTGGGGGACAATCCCATGCAGTGCAGAAAGAGCAGGAAGCTGCAGGGGCGACGAACCGACCCTTCACGGATCTCCCTTGAGTGGAGATCCCTCGAGTGGAGACGCCACATGTAGCAGTTCTGTGCTTCCAGAAACAAAACTAAAACTGATTGACTTTAGGAGCTGCATTCAAATTCAAGGGCAAGTTTAGTTCAAGGAAAGCTTTTCAAAGGATGCTTCAGTGAGCCTCTCACTTCTGAAAACAAGGCCATGTAAAGCTTATAAGACAAGCCTGATTATAAGGTAGTCTGATATTAATTGGATTAATTTGAAAATATGTCAGCACTTGCAACAGGTGAGATTCCGGTCTCTCTTTTTAGTTTTCTATTCCAAACTAAAAGGCAAAAGGTGAAGGAGGTACTACAGACGGCACCACTGAGACCTGAGAAAAGCCCCTTCACCCTGACCCTCTCCTTGTGACCCCATGGCTGAAGACCCCACTGATGACCTCCTGACCAGTCCAAGCTCACACACTGAACCCATCCTGAACTTGTCACATATTTGAGCTGCTACCCTGGGGTGGCAGAGGTTCAGTGATGGTCTGGGGCCAAGGTCTTGGGTGGCTCTGGCTTTTTTCTGAAACTCACTGGATACATCCACTACTACCCCTTGTCCCTGTCTTGTTTCCCACTTAAGTCATTCAGTCATATTGTGGAACCTAAGTTAGAACAGGTACAGGCTGGACGAAGGGACATGGAAAGACAAGAGGACAAGCCCAGGTTTCTGTCTAACTGGGCTCATGTTGAGCCATAAACACTAAAGGAGACTGAGAAAGGAGCTTACCAGTTTGTCTTGCAATTTTAATGGGAGACTCTTTTCCAGAATGGTGGCGCTACTAGTCTCCAAATTTCAGGTTTCTTTCTTTGTGGTGCTGGGGATGGTACTCAGAGCCCCACAAGGCCTAGGAAGTGCTCTACTCCTGAGCTACAACCCCAGCCCCTCAGGCTTCTTCTTCTAAGGCCAACCTGCCCAGTCACTTCCAAATCCTGGTCCCTACCTCCTTTCTCCTTGTTTTGCCCCTTTATGTGGACCCTCTGCCTGAAACTTCCCACTCTGAGCTTCTGTTGCCACCTCCTCCCGGAGATGTCCCCCTCACAGAGGAGAGAGAACATGAACTTGAACAGAAAGCTGTTCTTTGCCTTTCATTCTACTGGTCCATGGCCCTGGACAGAATGAGTTGGGAATGAAGATGAGTGGGTTTGTTTCTCCTTGTGTCTGTGAGCAGGTGTGGGGAGGGATGCGGGTTTGTTTCATTCATTACCTAAACTCAAATGATCTACACATGCATCCACTACTGAAGGCAAGGTGAGCCACACTGGACTCATGGGGGTGACGATGTAGCACTTTCCCCAAGACATTTTCAATGGTTACTCTGACCAGAGTTTTGTCCTGTTCAGACTTCCAACCTTAACCTGCCTGCTTGACCTTGCTCCCTATAATTCCATGGACCTCAACCTTCCTAGAATTTCTCACCAATTTGTCCAACTTTGAATCCAAATTAGCTTTTTAAATGAAGATCTGGCTGCATTTTCTTCTTTTACTTTTTATGGTACTGGGGACTGAAGCTGGATTGTTTTTAATCACCGAGCCACATCCCCATCCCTTTTTAATTTGTTTGATACAGGGTCTCGCTAAATTGCTGAAGCTGGCCTCGAATTTGTGATCCTCCTGCCTCAGCCTCCCGAGGAGCTGGCGTGCGCCACAACGGCCAGCTTGCATTTTTCTTTGTTTTAAAAAGAGTAGCACCAGGTCGTGGGCTCGTTGGTTGGTAAAGAGGGGCTAGGTCTAGTCAGAGCCCAGAATCAGACTGAGCGCAGGGTGGCGAACAGTTCCTCAATCTGGCCGCATTTCCTCCGCACAACACTCGCGCGGCTTCCCCGCCCGAGGGGCGGTGAAGAGCTGCGGGTTCATCCCCGCGTCTGAACTCGAAGCCTCTCATTCCCCGCCTGTCGTGAGTGTGAGGCTTCCCGTCGCCCTCCGGTAGCTCGGCTCAGCGGTCGCCTCCGCGGCCCGCAGCCCGCAGCCCAGGAAGCTGCCCCGGCCCGGCCCCAATCTCCGGAGCCGGTCCGCCCGCGCTCCCGCAGATCGCCAGCACATGGGCCTGGCGCGCCCCGCACCTGGCCTGGTGGATCAGGCTCTCCGCGGCCGCTGTGAACATCCCGCCGCTGCGAGGACGCCCAAACCCGCGCCAGTGCCGCAGGACTTCAGGGACTTCCGGGGCCCATCACGTGCCACGTCACGTACCACGTCACGTACGGAGGCCGGCCTCCTGGGGCGCCCCGCCAGCTTCCAAGCCTCGTCACGTGGGAGGAGGGCGGGCCCTCGGCAGAGCGTCTGGGGGCGGGGCCGGAGGCGTCTGCGCTGTGGGTCCTGGTCGGCTTCGGGTTCCTTGGACGCTGTGCCCCCGGATCTCTCGTTGACCCCGGAACTGCTCGCTCTGGCACCTGGTCGCCCAGCCTCGGGTGGCGCCATGTCACAGTGCCCCCTTCCACTTTCTGTTTTTTGAACGGCTGGGTGGCGTGCAGGCCTCAGGGTGGCGCGGCCCGGAAGTGGCCCATCAACTGCAACTTGTTGCGGCTCTTAGAGCAGTTTTTGTTTTAAAGCTCTCGTTTATTTAGAACTGCTCTCGGGCTGTAGGTAGAACTTTAAAAATGCCATTCAAGGTTATGCTGGGCCCCGCGGCAGCATTCCCACCTGTAAGCTGCTTGGGGGCGCTGGAGACACCCCACAGCTGCTGTCCAGCGTGATAAGCACCTCGCCGCCTGAACTGAGCCGGGATCCCACCGGAAAGGCCTGCATCCGGTGGGCCCTAAGGGTGTGGCAAGGGGCAGCCTAGGCAGCATGCTGCCTTCTGTAGTCCAGCGTGGTGACTGCATGGGGTAGGGAGCTAGAGAACCCCTGACTAGACTTGGTAACCATTCAGGGGTGGGATTTGCAGGCCCTGGTGATGGAAAGATTAGAGAGTAGGAAGAGGAAGGGAAAAGCCAAAGGCAAACGGCAGGTGTCTCGGTTGGGCACTGGGTGGTGCCATTCATTTGGTATTGAAACAGGGAAGTTTGTGGAAAGTCATTGGGTGAGCAAACCCTGATTTGAGTCCCTTCCTTTGTCAGGTACTGTTTCAGGCCCTGAAGAGTGGCAGTGGAGATGAATGTTCTTTTGTTTGCATGGGTCAAGGTTAGACACTGAGAAGACACCTGGATGGTTGAAGGGGCTGGGCAATTACCTATGCGAATTCTAGACACCATTCTTTACCTAGTCCCTGAAGATACTTGAAGGTGGGCTGGTGCTGAGGATGGGGAGATGGGAACCAGCTGATGGGGTACATGGCTGGAGTGGGGAACTGGTGAGGACTAAAAAGGCAGTCCATGGGATGCCTACTGCACGCTCAGTTTTCATGTTTAAAGTGAACCGTACACAGTGAAGTTTCCAAATCTTATTTACATTTTTATAAATCAGAAAACTGGTGTTTAACTGGCTACATTGGTTGGAGACTGATTTCGTGTTTGATTGATTCTTGTCATGGCCATTTCATGTAGACCATTTCCAACTCCCTAGAGGCTCCCTGTGCCCCTCTGTCAATTCTACCCTTCCCCTGCCCCAGAAATAATGCATACCAAATACCTCACTTTTACTGCCAGGGATGAATTTGCCTCTTTCTACACCTCAGATAAATGGAATCGGGAACTACTTAGCCTGTCTTGTTCATTCATGGATATTTGGTTTGTTTCCAGATGTTGGCAACAATGAATCACACTGCAGCCATGATCTTTTACTGGGGATGTGTACTTGCTTCTCTGGTAAATACCAGGTTCCCAGGGTAGCTCACTGTTATGTGCCAGTGATCCACATCTACCCACACCTTCTCTCCACACGCACGTATCCAAGCTTTATTAAGGATTAATATTTGAACTGTTTTTTAAAAAAAACTTATGTTTGCACAAAATGTTATTTTAAGGTCTTGGTAGTGAACCATAGTCCTAAAAACAATTCAAAAACCCAAGACTAAAAACAGATGTTAATTAGGCAGTGCAGCTCCCTAGAGGAAACTCATTCTCAAGCTTGCTGTTTGGCTAAAGTCTTGTCATGAATCTGTTAATGTCATGGTATACTTATGGCTGGAACTGTGTATCAAAAAAGGAGTGACCGGAAGGGAGACCAAGAAGCAAACAAACTTCAGCTGTAACTAGGGGCAGCTGTGAAGTCTGAAAGATTCCAACAATCTATTCAGCCCAGTGAGACAGTCACGTGCACAAACACCACAGGGCAGGGCCTTGACAGGATGTATTGTGGCAAACACACATTTTCACAAACTTTCCACTCGAGGGACTCTGCATTAATCTTGTCAATTTGGGGGCCTTTAGAAGAGGAGCAGCCTTACTGCAGGTAACCAAGAGCACTTTGACATCCTCAACACTCTGATACCTCTCAACTTACCCATGTCTGTGAGGTCAGTGTCCATTTTGCATGGAAGGAAACAGCTTATCCCAGGTTGAGGTGCCACAGCAGGAGGAAGTGTGGCAGGGCAGGAGCCTGACCCCAGGTTGACACCAGAGCCACTGCCTGGCCATATTTGCTCTGTAGCCCTTCATGCCCACATGATAACCTGGAATAGGTGAAGGCTTAGCACACACAGATGTACAGAGAATCTCACCTGGGTGAGGGCCCCTGAGGCAACTTCAGGTACCTGCGAGTAGCCCTGATCCAGTTGTGGGTGTGGGCCCAGGAGTAGGGGGATGGCTCAGCTGGCTATCCCTCATCATGTCTTGAGGAATGGCCTCAAGCTGTCCTCACATTCCTGGAACTGCAGATACTCTGGCTCTGGAGCTTGGGAGTCCCAGTGCAGCACCTGTGGAAACCATCTTTGTCCATTGGCTTCTCTGGGGCAACAGACCACCAAGAACAAGTGAGAGGAAACACAGCCCCCTAGGAGCTGCCCTTCAGCCTCCAGAGCACGTAGGGGGTGCTTTCCAGGGAGCAGGAAGGCCATCTGTCAGTCCAAGTGTCTGTTCAGCCCAGTGAGACAGTCACGTGCACAAACACCACAGGGCATTGACAGGATATATTTGTAGCAAACACACATTTTCACAAATCAATCAATCACAAGGACCAATCAATCACAATCAATCACAAGGACCACCCGGAATCTTGCTATCATTTCTTTAATATATAATTTTATTTCTGGTTATAGAAACAAATGCTAAGAGGAGAAACAAAACTTCCCCATCCACATACAACAATTTAATAGATAAAAGAACAGTTAAATGAAAAACAAAAAGTAGAAATTTTAAACTTTGTTATAGCTTTAAAACATTTAACGTCTGATACAATTAGAAATCACATTCAGATCTCAACTTAAAAAAAAAAGTATGGCTCTGTAATAAAAAAATACTGTATCCCATATGAAATGAAAAACCCATGCCGGGCTGCTTTTGACGTGGGTCTGTTGGTTTTTCTGATTCCAGCGCCTGCTCCTGCCCATGGAGCTGGTGTGTGGATGCCATCCTGGGTGGGACCTTCACCCATTGGCACGGGACACAGCCCAAGGTCAAGAACCAGAATCCCCACTTGACAGGATACCACTGCTTTTTAAAGCACTGATTATTAAACATACTGTGAAAATACTTCAGACAGCCACTGTAAAAAAAAAAACACACCCACATACACACACACACACACGCACACACACACACACACACACTCCCCGAACAACACCCACCCCCCAAATTATTTTTACAGGAGAATTATCGTTCAGGTAAGAAAAATCAATTTCAGTATTGGCTTTAACCCATCCTAGCACACGCCGAGCAGCCAGCCTTCAGGGACGCAGCAAAGCCTAAGGAAAGACCTGGAACAGCTCCTGCCTCTTCTTTCCTCTCTGCCACCTTTTCCTGAAGCAGGAATCAAGCTATGTTAAGTTAAGGTATAACGAGGAATCCAAAATGCCTCCCTCCAAGGGAAGTCAGGAAGGGAAGGAAGGGCAAACAAAATATTTGATTTTAAATCCCTATTTTTATTAATTAAAAAAAAAAAGGGTCTGGCCCAGCTAAGCCAGAAATTCAGAGGCCACAGACACAGTTTGAATCCATACAGGCCAGAGTGGTTCACACAGGGGGGAAAAACCTACTTCAGAGTCACAGGGCTCATCTGGGCTCAGCCAACATATCTGGGAGTTTGGGGACAGTGCTAGATGCTGAAGCCCACAAGTGCTTTTACTGCAGGGAGAGAAGCCCTGGGGGATTGCGCATGATGCCGGGACCTGTCCTCATTCAGGCAGCCACACATCCTCTGGGCCAGCCTCCTGCACGCTGCTCACTGTGTCTTGAGGATCTGATGAATCAAACAGGCAAACCATTCCAGAAACAAGATCCCAGATACAGAATCTAATCCAGAACTCTTCTAATTCTCTGCTGACTCTCTCATGGGAAGTAGGCAAGAAGAGAAGGAGCCCTCTCCAGTGTCCTCAGCAGCCTACAGGTGACTGAAACCAGGAAACAGCTTAAAGATGCTGCTGGCTTGTGGGACCTGCGACCCCAGGGGTCCTCTATGGCCAGTGACTGGCTGCTTAACCCCAGTACCTAAGAGGATCTGCTGCTGCTCATGGCCCCAGGGGCTTTCATTCCACCTGTGTCTAGAAGGAGGAGCAGATGCTGAGAATGAATAAAATCCTGTGCTTGGGTCTCTGCCCAGAGAGAATGGAGGATGCCTAAAATAAAAAGTAACTGCTCTCTTAACTGTTTTCTAGAACACTCTGCAGCCCCAACCAGCCATTAGGGTAAGTAAAAGAAGCTAAAAATTCCCTGTGGCTCACTAATTGAGAGAAGGATCTTCATTTCAGCCCTGCCCAAAAATGCAACAGAAGCACCCAGCTGGGTAACAGGTGGGGGCTCCTGAGGAAAGCTCAGTCCTCATCCTGAGAACCTCTGCCTGGGCCCGAGGGCACACCGTTTCAAGGAAGGACACTTCTCAGGTCAGGTCTAACCACGGGAAGAGGTGGCCACAGGCACAGTGAAGCTCACCAGTAGATGCTGCTGACTGCTCCCTCTGGCTCACACTTCTCTCTTGTGCCCTCAGCCTTGCCCCCTAGAACCTCCACACCACCTACAAGAGAACAGCACTGGCTCTCCTGCCCACGGGGGACCTCTGGTGATGGGCTTCTGGTTGGCCTCACCTCTGGGGCAGCACTGCCCTGGCTACTGCACCAGACCACCTACGTGTGGTTCTGGAATGCTCCTTCCAACAGCTGAGCTGAGACCTGGAAAGGGGAGCATGGATTTTTTTTTTTAACATAAGTATAAAATTATATTCTCTAAACAAAGTCACTGAAATGGGCCTGTTTTCTGTTTCAGGTTAGAGGAAATGCCCACAGGAATATCACAAAATCCCATGCTGCAAAGCTGCTGCCACTTCAGGGGGTGCGGGCAGGTAAGCAGAGCTGCTGGAAACAGGACCGTCCCTTCTACAACTGTAACATCTGAAATTCAAACCCAGACCATGGGAAAGGGTCTCCTATTGAGGAATGTCAGCCAGCTCACTAGCCTGCAGGGCTGCAGTACTGCCGGGACACCCTGCCGGCTCTGATGCCAGCCCCTCCCTCCAGTTGCTCACAGAGCAGCTTTGGTTACTGAGAGAAAACGCAGGGAGCAGATTTCTTGCACCAGACCTGAGCAAGGACAGTGAGCATATGCATGACCAGGACCAGGTCTTGAGCCTTCCAAAAACCTTAGCGCGACAACAAGGCATGCAGAAAGCAATTTGTATGACAAAAGGGAGTCGCAAAGGACAGGAGCACAACGGGAAGTGGGCAGGCGGAGATGGGCAAGAGACCTCTGCTCCAGTCTGTAATCTGCCCTCACTTCAAAGAGCCCACGTACACACTGGGGAGCCTCCAAAGCCAAGTCCCAGCTGAAGACCAGTCCTGTCTTCATAGCAGCAATTGGAACAATTTAAATTGTTCTTATTAAATAATATTGCTTCTAGGCAGAGGTATCTGAAGGAGCCCTGAGACGAGGCTGTGGGTGAACACATTTCCATCCTAAGCCAAGACCAGGAAGGTCGGCCGGGCTCTGCTCTCTGTGCTCAGCAGAATGGCCCACGGCAGCAAAGGCTCCTGTTCGGCACATGGGGACTTGACTTTTTTTTTTTAATAGTACAGTCTTACTTTTCATATTTATCTGTATTTACCACGGAGCAAGCTACTGGGCACTGAGGCACACTCTCAGAGGGTGAGGGAGCGCCCAGGACAGGTGGGGAATGTCCCTAGAGAGGGTCCCGTCCCTTGGACCAGATGAAGTCACTTAGGTGCAAAGGGGAATTTGAGGCTTTTGAAGAAGAGCAGAGAGCTCCCTCCCACCAGCTGCATTTGTTTCTGTGCTGTAAGAGCTTGGGGAATCCTTTCTTCCTGTCCTCCTCCTGCATTCAACTAAGCTCTTGTCTCTTCAAGTGAGGTCTGTTCTCCATGAAGGACTCTGACTCCGAAGTCACAGAGTGGCACATGCAGAGCTCTGGCTGGGATGTGCAGCTCTGGGCACCAGCCACACCTGGGTCTCTGGTTACTGGCTCCAGGACAAGTTCTGGTAGGAACCAGGTATGCCACCAGTGTAGAGATTTCTGTCTACAGAGAGGAACCCTGGTACTGGAAACGCCCAGCCCACCTGGAATGTCCCAGGGAGGCTCTTCATTTCAGAGGAAATAATGAGCATTAACTAAAATGATCCTAGGACCTCAAGCCACTCTTTCTCCAGGCCTGGGGAGGAGAGCAAAGAGCCCCAGGAGTGGATCCCGAGATTGGTTACCCACCTGGAGACAGAGGTGGCCTAGAGGGGTGGGGGAGTCTCTGTCCCTGCCATGGTGAAGCTCTACCAGATCTTTACCTCCCAATTTGGAAATCACTCAAGCATGAGACTTAGGTCCATGACACATCCATCCAGCAACGCCCACGTCTACTCCCACCCTTTCTACTTGACTTGGGTCTAAATAACAAAAATAGAAAAAAGAAACCCAGAAACCCCAAATAGGAACAAACTAGGCCTTGGGTGGGAAACCACGGGTCCTCCACCTGCCTGGGCCTATTCCCCACTCTGTGTCTTCCCAGCCTGGTCTCAAGGACAATGAGTCTCCTTCTTGAGTTTCTTAGAGACAGTGGGTTAGTCCCCTGTTAGACACAAGGGACGGCCAACACCCGAAGTGCATGGAAGGAAAGTGCCACCAATTGCCACTGGACACACGAGAGACAGACAGGGGGATGCAAACTGAGGTCCCAACAGCCAGGCGAGCTCTTAGGGTAGCTTCTGACTCCCAGCACCACGCCAGCTTGCTAGGGAGGGCTGGCCGTCTTCACACACTCTTGCATCTGAGTCTGGTGACGTACTGAGTAGGGAGCGGCTGGCCAGGCACCGGGGTCTTTGGAAGCTCCAGTCAGAGCAGGGCCAGGCAGGAGGGAGCCTCCCTAGCCATCGCCTGGACCTTGGACCTCGGGCCTCCACCTTGGGTCATGCCAGAGCCTGGAGCCTGGCATGACCCAGAGCAGGTTCTCTTGCTCCATGTCTGCAGTGACACCTAAAAGGCCCGAGCCCGATGGTAGAGGTTCTCCTGGCCCCTGGGTGAACTCTGGTTTCCAGGACAGGCTCAGCTGCGAGGCCTGCTTGGTGGCTCTGGAGCATATGCAGAGCTCTGGCTGGGATGTGCAGCTCTGGTCACCAGCTACGCCTGGGTCTCTGGTTACTGGCTCCAGGACAAGTTCTGGCAGGAGCCAAGTATGCCACCTGGTGGATGACCAAACCCTTCCAACACCGTTTATCAACCCAGCGTGACATTCCAGCCTCCCCACCCGCTCCCTGCACAGAGTCTGCACTGACCCCAAGGGCACTTCTCTGTCCCTTTAATCGAGAGACCCTCCACGAGCAGGACTCTGGGAATAGGTCCCTGCCCTCCCTGCCCCCTCTGCCCCTCACCTGGGCAGTGTTCACAGTGACACAGTACAGAAGACAGGGACCAGAATGTCTCAGAAGATAGAAGAGCAAACAAGTTGGAGCCAGAGTCAGGAACCTACAGTTCTGGGTAGCCACCACCCAAGCACCTCCTGTGGCTGTCACTACAGTCCAGAATCAAACAGAATCCCCCACAGAGGTGACCACGTGCAGCCAGGGAAGGGAAAGAAGCATCTGATGACCTTAACATCCCTTGTCACAGGTCCTCACCTAGGACTCTCCCCGTTCCTGCTTCCCGACCCACGCACACACCAGGCACGCGGAAAGGCCCAGGAAGGGGAAGGAGGAGCCGCTGTGCGCGGAGGGTGCTATGGCAGAAGGGGCCGCCCTCACCCTGCCCGTCTCCCGGAACTTCACCAAGGCCAAGGTACAGACTTCAAAGAGCTTATTTCCCAGTTAAGGTTTAGTGCCATAGAAACCCCTGGTCTGAGGGGCTAAAATAATGACAGCGACGGGTTTTCCCTGCAGGCAGAAGGAAGAGGGCAGGGCCAGGGCTTACCCCTTAACTCCTAGTGACTCACATGAATGTCCTCCTGGCCAAGCAGACACCCAACTAGTGGGTGCGGGGACATGCAGCAGCAGCAGGAGAGAGCATCCCTCCTGCCCACCAGCTCTGGCCGTGGTCAGTCTCCCTGCCCTACCTCCAAATCACCTGGGAAATTGTCCCCTCCATTTAGAGGTGGCATGTGCCCTGCCACTCCCTGCTGTCCAGGGACTGGATGTCCCAGGGTCTTTTCCTCAAGGGCAGGTGCTGCCCTGGAGCGCTGCTGTTTCCGGCTGTGGCCACTCAGAGGACCAGCGAGAGCGCCTGGCCACTGCAAGGCCATCTTACGCGGATGCGCGAATGCTTCCTCCGAGGGTCCCCGGGGGTGGCTGAAGGGCTCCAATCTCATCCCCTCACTGGGCCAAATGGTCCACGGCTCCTCAGCTCCGGCTTAGCTCCTGCTTCTGTGACGTGGCTCAAAGTGCTGCTGGTCGTATGGACATGCAGAGGGACATCCCTAGGTGCCCTGGAGCCCCTTGACCAACTGCAGGGAGCATTCTGTCCTTTGGCTCTCACCTCATTGAAGTCAAAACAGGCAGAGCTGGCGTGGGCCTGCCTGCCAACTGCTGCATGGTGGGGAGTTTCCTTTCGGCTAAGTGACCAGAGTCCCCTAGTTTCTGACAGAACCGGTTCCAATTTCAAACAATGGATGGATTTGGGGGAGGTCAGGAAACTGGAATGTGGTGGGAAAGGCAGTGTGAGCAGATGTATCCCAGTGGATCCTCAGTCCGGGGTCAGAGCTGTGGGGACCCTGGGGTTTACCCTGGTCTTCTGGTGACACACATGAACGTCCTCCTTGCCAAGCAGGCAACTGACTTCTGCCTGGAGCCCCATTTCCCGGGCGTGCGGCTCAACACGTGTCCAGGGCCGGCTGGAGACTGCAGCTGCTGACTTCAGACTGACCTTTCACCCAAAGCATGTTGACACCAGGCGGCAGCCGCGGATCCTTCTTGAAGTTATCAGACAGGGCTGAAGCCAGGAGAGCACCGGCCCAGTGCTGCTAAACTGTCTCAGGCAGAAACCCAAGGGACACAAGCCGTCTCGTGTGTGCCTGAATTGGTGATAAGCCTGAATTCCGTGTTTAAACAACAAGAAATACTTGGGGTCCAAAGCCAAACCAGACCCACCCCCCCATCTAATTAATGCCAATATTTTCTATGTCATTTTGGAAAAGACACCATAAAACAGTACGTGAGTGGCAGTTCCTGCCTTTCTCTTGCCTATTCCCCATCTATGACAAACAGGAATCTGTCCCATTCCCGACCCCCGAGAAGGCCTTGGCTGGCACCTTGCTGAGTTCCTGTCGGGTCCTCCAGGCAAAGGCTGCTGCCCCAGCAAAGGCCCCGAGGCCGGCGTCCTCCTCCTGGTGGGTGGGCGGTCTTGACAGGTTCCTGAGGTGCTGGGCCAGACCTTCTCCCCATGCCTTGACCAAAGGGCCTGGAGAGGCAGCGGTGCAGGGAGCGGGAAATAAACACACGAGATCCCCAGGACCATGCGATCAGTTGTCGGAACTGGTTTATGTGTTTTTGTTTCACACCGTGGGAGGGCAGAAGGCAAAGTGGGAAGGATGGGTGTTCCAGGCGTGGTGGCCACCGCTCAGGTGGCAGTGCTGCAGGCAGCCCAGCCCTGGGGCCCCTCTCCTGGGTCCTCGAGCGCAGCCGTCTGCACTGTGGAGCCTGCTCGGGTTCCTGTGGCATGTCCTGCTCCACCTCGTACAGGTGACTTCACTCTCCGGTGCCTGGGCCCTGGGGGCCAGCAGCTGCCATCACCCCAGCCTGTGTGGTCGCTGTCCCACTGGGTTCCTCCACCCGGGACCTTTTGACCTCAGGTTCCCCACTGGAGGAGGCTGAGGTGGCGTTGGAGGTTGCTGGGGTTGGGGTGGCACTGGCCGCCATGACTGCTGCTGCTGGCTCCTCGGGGCCCACCTCACACACCCGGGTGACCACCACCGGCGTGGACGAACTTGCCTGGGCTGCAAGGAGCTGCAGGGGGCTGGTGAGGGCTGGGGTGGAGGAAGGAGAGGTTACCTGGGAGTCTACGGAGGACCAACACTCATTCTCCTTGGTCACCTAGACAGGGACCTGGCTCCCAGCTCTGGCTTCTCCCAGGGCAGTGCCCAGCCTTCCCCTTTTTCTCTACCTGCCCGAGGCACACTTCCTTCTGACTCCCTCCAGCCTGCCAGGAGCCCACCTCAGGCTCTCCTGCTGCTGCATCTGTCTGATCCCTAGAGCCGTGCCCAGGGTTCCTCCCCGACCTCTGTCACACAACACCACCTGCCTGGGACCACCCACTTAGACTTGAGCCCACTCCAACCAGGGCCCCACCCCATGTTCCTCCTCTGACCTCCTGTCTCTCCACAGTTCAGTGTGGCCTGCACGGCATGGGGACATCTGGTTTTCCCTACTGAGCTGCACCGTCACAGTGATGGGACTGGAAAAGCTCTGGTGTGCTCACTGACTGTGGGCAGGACCCCACTGCTCAGGACTTGGGCTTGGAGAAGGGGCCGGGCCTCACCGTAAGCGCTGCCAGCCAGACTGTTCGTGGGGACAGCATGCTTTCCATTCTGAGTGACGGCCCGGACTGGGAGATGGTGCTGCCCGATGGTCACTGGTGTGGCTGGCTGTAGGATGGTGACTGTGTGTCCAGGAACCCCAGGGGCCATCTGACTGGCCACCGTCTGGATGACTCGGCTGGCTGCAGGGATCGTGGCAAATGCAATGGTGGGTTTCTCCTCCAAGCCTGTAGGGCACGAAGCGAATCAGAACCACCCTTGGCAGGGCCTGGGATGCAGCTCAGCAGTCGGACCCTTGCCTAGCATGTGTGGACTGTGAGTTCAATCCCCGGCACCACACGAAACACAACAGAAATAACTGCATTTGGCCAATGAGGCCATCAAAGGCCACAAATGCCTCAGCAATGGACCTGCAAATGGAGGTGGGAGGAGGGAGCGGCTCTGGGAGAAACTGCTTCTCAAATGAAAATCCCACAGAAGAAACGTGTTTCCAAAAACAACAACAACAAAAAAAAACAATTAATAGGATTTTGAAAAAATGTACCTTAAACTTGAGCCAACCCAAATCCCAAATTTAATCCGCAAAACAGAAAGTATTATTTGGAACAAAATGGTCTTGTTTTAGTGCCATGGCTTAGTCTTTACCAAGAGACAGTTTGTATGATGATGTATTAAAATAAAAAATGGCCACCAAGACTGAGTGGACCCTGATCACACAACACCACCTGCTTAACTGGGAAGTGCCCCTGAGAGGTGCTCTTCAGCACAGAGGCACTGGCCGGCCCACCCTGGGGGTCCCCTGGGATCTGGACTTCTTTTAGGAACTTCTAAAGACTCCTCACCATCGTGCTAGAGGTCACTTCCCCAGGCTTATTCTTATTCCTTCTCCTTGAGAAAATGTTAAATGAGTTCCAACTAAACTCAGTGTCACTTTGAGGAGAAACAAAATTCAAGGCCGCAGTTACATGCCACAGGCTGCACCCTCAGCCAGGCGAGGGGGAACCTGGGGATAGTCAGCGATGCCTTAGAGGACGCAGCAGTAGGAGCCGCCCTCCCTGAGCCTCCGCCCGACAGGCCAGCTCTGAGGCCCGTGGCCCAGGCCCGGGCAGCAGCATGGCAACCAGCACAGCTGAGACGAAGCAGCGGCTCTCATTACCTCTGGCTTCGCCGCCCAGGTCCAGCACGGCTGCGCCCGTCGTGTCATGGGAGCCCCCTGCCGAGCCCTGGCTGGCGAGGATGTAGCCATTGGCTGAGCTGGCGGAGGTGGTGACCACCCTGACCATGGTGACGGTGGGGGCTTGCTGCACAACGTGGATCGCGTGGCCTGAGGGCTGCTGTGAGGTCACTATGGAAGCTGGCATGTAGGCAACGGGCTTGGCCACTAAGTTGGACGGTCGGGGAGGCACAGCCATGATCACTGGCTGCGCGCTGACAGGGGAGCCTGCAGGGAGCAGAGGGAGAGAGGACGTGACCCTGCTGGCCCTGTTCAGGGCTATCGTGCCAGGAAAGGACAAGACCGGGCCTCACCGGGTGCACTTTGGGAACACCGATATTCAGGAACAGAGGCCGACTTGGACCCCAGGTCAGGGTCGTGTGGAATGGGGGAGCCCTCCCGAGACAGGCACTCTGGAGTCTGCAGGCCACTGGAACGAGGGGACATCAGCCCAGGGTGAGTGGGTGAAGCTGGAGCACTCCTGAAAAAGGAAAAAGAGAAAGGACCAGGGTGGTAAGTGACATGTCACAGAACCACTAGGACCTGGAAGGTGCCACACACCACAGCGTCCCTCCACGGTCCCTTCAGGCTTCCGAGGCACCTCTCTGTCCCTGAGGCATGTCTAATTCTGTCACCTGGTGATATAGCCCTAGCTCCACTCAGTGGGGGTTGAGTGTTGGGGGCTCCCTTAACCAGGGGCATGGCGTTGCCTATGGCTCCCAGCAGTGCCACAGTCAACAGCATTTGTCTCCTGAAAGGTACCAGAATCCTTAAGAGTGGCTCGGCTTCGGTGTCAAAGGACATAGCTCCTGTTGGACGGCTGGCACAACCAATTGGCCTGAGAACCACATCTGTAGGCCCCAGACCAGAAACGGGAGCCTGGGGCCCGGGGTGGCCTATCACAGAATCGAGTCTGAAACAGAAGCCTACATGGAGCGCCTGAGGCTGATGCTCATCTTGGAAGCCCTCCATCCCCTGCCCAGCCCGGAGACACTCATCCGACAGGTGAGCGTGGGAACAGCTGCCAGCCCATCAAGGGGCAGTCTGCTCCTCCGGACTGAGCATGGCCAGGAACAAGTTGGGCTAGAAAGGCCTTCACCTTCCAGGCAGGTGGCCAGGCAGGTGCCAGCAACCAGCAAGAAGGTCCACCTGACAGCCTGTCAGTCACAGTACCCACTCCATTAACAGCGGAATTGCTTTTGAGCTCACCAGCCTCATTCTCATCTGCTCCTTCAAAGGTCTGGACCATGGAGGAGGGGAGCAGCTGGCTGTGCTTGGGACCCCTCAATTCCCTGGCAGAAAGCTCGGGTTCACAGGCACTGACAGGTACCTGTCTTCAGTGCATCGCATACTTCCACTTCTAAGAGCTAACACATTCGAGGAGCAGTCAACAATCTACTGATAAATGGAGTAATGAGTCCAGAAGTTCAGTGGTCCTGAGACTGTCTCAAGAAAAGGTGGAGTTTTGTGGTGTCTAGAACAATCCATGACCCTCTACACCTGGAGAAGTCAGCTTTCCTAAGTGCTCAAGGACAGCAGGGGGCTTACCTTGAGGACAGAGGCCCGAAGGGGGTGCGGAAGCAGGAGACACCCCTCTGTCTCCGTTTTCGGAACGCCTGTTCCACAAGCTTGGCTTCTGAGGCAGGGTCTATTCGCCAGAAGGAGCCCTTCCCAGGTTCCTCCTGGGAGCGCGGGACTTTGATAAAGTAACGGTTCAGAGAGAGGTTGTGCCGGATAGAATTCTGCAGGGAAGCAGGGACAGTCACTGGTCACTAGCATGTCAAGAGCACAGATCCCACTGCCCCGAATCTGCATGTAACAGAGCTGCAGGACCAGAGGTGACAGGAATGGATGGCCTGCCCTATGGCTGCCTGGTGACTGTGCCTCATGGGGGACCTCCAAGAGTCCAGGGCAGCTTTTCCTATCCAAATTCCACTCAGGTAAAACCCATCACTGTTCTTTGCAGGAAAAGGAAAACAAAGAGACAAGCCACATGCAGGAGCATGTCTGCCACCCAGACCTGAGTGGGCCTCTGGGGTTCAGAGCTGGTCTTGAGCAGAGCAGCAGATGGGAAATAGCAACCAGGGAAACACAAATGCAGGACACGGGTCGGTTATGCCTGCTCCAGAGCCCGACCTCCACGAGCGAGACTACAACCAGCACATGACATGACGTGCACAGTGTCCTTCCAAGACAACACAGGACCCCCGTGGGGTAAGCATAAGAGCACAAAGGTGTGGAAAAAGTAACGAGATGCCGGCTGAACCGCGGTGGCGCTGCACACGGATGTCCCCGAGGCTGCCATGTGGCATCCCGGAGGGCACCTGTGAATGGCCTGCCCAAGGCCACGGGCTGCGTCCTCGGCCCCCTGCCTCACCTGCCAGCCCTTGTCGGCCGTCCTGTAGTAAGGGTAATGCTTGGTGATGTGGGCATAGATGCCACTTAGTGTCAGCTGCCGGTCCTGGGCGGAGGAGATGGCCTGTACAATGAGCTGAGCGTACGAGTAGGGCGGCTTCGACTCATCCTGTGAGCAGACCACGGGGTTACCTGGAGAAGGGCAGGGTCCACCCACCGTGTCTCCTGCTCCTCATCAAGCCACCCCAGCTAGCGCTACACTCAGCCACTTGTGCCCCATGGGAGGAGAAATTAGGTTTTTATCCTGATTTAAGTTTGAAGTTTCTTACCTGCTCAACATATCAAGTCAGTTATCAGATGGAAAGAACCAAGACACAACATTATAAGAAAAAAATATGTCATTCTTCTCAATGTCATTGTCATTCAAATTCTGAAATCATTTTGTCAGTAGGAGACGGGATAGGGAGGAACAGGGTGCACGAACCCAAGTTATCACCAGTGGCCAAGTGCATCATGGGGCAGTGCCTCCCGTGCAACCACGTGCTACACCCTGGAGTGCCTGGCTTGTGTCTCTCAGGAGCCTCTATCGCCCATTCCCGGTCACTCTGCACATATGAGGCTCAGACCTTGGGGCTGTCCCCGCCAGACGTGTCTGCCTGCTGCTCTGAGGCGGCCTTCGCTGCAAACTCTGCGGCTAGCTGCAAGTCCGAGGTCACATTCTGGACGAACCGGTAGCCAGAGGACCCAGCTCCACGTGGACTGGCTGGGCAGGAGTTGGGGACACTGAAGGGAGGAAAGGACACACTGTGAGTTCACAACCCAGGGAAGGAGGAATCTGGGCAGGACAGGGTTTCAGGACCACCCTGGATGGGGTGACAGAACTCACTCTTCTCCTGGAAGTCCCATTACACCACACAATGCTCTCCAACACAATGAAGCACAGAGCCATGCAGTGTTGAAGACAGGACCCTGGAGGGGCAATCCTGTCTTACCCCTGGCTCCAAGGCCAGGCTACCTCAAGTCCCAAGCCTGCAGACAGGTCCAGCCTTGCCCAGCAGGGCCCAGGGCGCAGCCTCAGCCCCAGGCAGGAGGAAGACTGAGCTCATGTTTGTGGGAGCCACGGGCTTGTGCTAAGGTGTCCACAAGATGGCACCCCAAGAAAAGGCTCTGGGTTGAGATTGCCAGCTATACACGCAAATAGGGGGACCAACCTGTGTGGGAGGCACCAGGGCCTGGGAAGCGGGACAGTCAGACATTACTTTCCTATGCACATAAATGCATCATAGCGAAACTCCACACAACATACGACCACAAGAATGGGGTCCTAATTAGCATAAGTCAGACTCCACGTAAGTATAGCATGTCAAAATACACGCTACCGTCACGTGTGCCTAAAGAGAACCAAAAATAAATAGATCAAGCTTGCACACAAACAATAATATGGAATATGTTAACAGGGGGGTATTCATAATAACCAAAAGATGAAAATAACTTAAATGTCCATTAACAGTGAACTGATAATAAAATGTGGTCTGCCCATCGGAAAAAAAAAAAAACAGGGAGCACCAAGGGCGGCTAAAGCAGGGCACACTAGGTCTCCCAGGCCAGCCCAGCTCAGCCTGGTCTCCTGCACCCTGCGGTCCCTTCCTCCTAGGTGGGAGCAACAACCCTCAGCTAGACGTGACACCACGGGAGTGGGCTGTGCAGGGCCTGAGCAGCCCTGTCCTCCATGTATGTCACGACGACACCACGGTCCGGCTCCCTGGACCCACAGTGGCCTGTGCTGCTCTCAGGGCTGTGCTGTGGCCACCTCCCCTGGTTGACTGGGGCAGGCTCTGCCGATCACACCACATCAACATTTGGATTCTGAAAACAATTTCTTTTCCGAACCTTTGAGAGAAAACTAACTGAATATGGCAAGTGGGTGTAGCAGCCCAGATCAGAAATGTTCCTAGACCTCATCCTGCTCACTTGGGGCCCTGCCTTACTGTCCCAGCAACATGGACAGACCTGTGATGCCACCCCACCCAGGGCCTGTGATGGCAGGAGGCCAGGCCCAAGAGGGGATGTGCCTCCAATGCCCTTCAGGCACCGAGAGCCCTCTCCAGGGAACCTGCCCTGTGCTTGGCTCCCTTATCCTAGAAGCTGTCAGAATGTCCCCTCCCCAGCTATCTAAACAAATGTCACCACTCATTCCAGACATTGCCTCTGGGGGCACCCTCCTGCACTCTGGAGCCCCTCAGGCCTCAGGCGGGCTGCCCATGGGTCACTTGTCTTGGCTGGAAGCCACCCTCACATACCAGGGGCTCAAGAAATGCTTGCTGGATGAAGGAAGGACAGACGGAGAAACGCCCACACTGACCCGGGAGAACTCGATTCTGGTCATCACCTCTGCAGTAATGAGCCAAGCAGAATTCTGAGGACTCTAATTGGAGAATTCTTACTCTCTGTCCACCTGGGTCACCAAATTTGGTAGAGACAAAGCCAAATCTGTACATGTAGAGACTCTTCTCAGGTGGTGTGTCCCGCCCTCCAGCCCCTGGCAACGAAGTAGCTTAAGGCCTTGGTCACACGGAGATTGACCACCATAAATGAGCTTGTGAGAGGGAGAAATGAAAATAAAACCTTTCCTGAATTCAACTCTGAACCTGAACTCCTAGCATGCAGATGAGGCAAGGACTTCACCAGAAACTGTTTCCAAGACCAGGATTTCTTCACGATTCCACCAGAGGCAGCAAAGGGTGGGCCCAAGGGGACTGCAATGTGGTGGTGCTGGGCGGCTGCTGGGGACTTCCTGGACGCTCCCTGGGACTGGAGCACACGAGACCAAGAGATGCCACCCAGAAGCACACCTGCTTCGGGAGCCCCCGCCACGGTTCCAAGGATGTTTCCTGAGCGATGGTGGAAAGTGCACCCCACACCCACAAGGGGAAGCCAGAAGCGTTGAGGTTGATGGAGGTGACCCATGGCCTTGGCCAAGGTCCGCTTAAAACGAGGATGGCAAGGGGGTCTCCTGGCTGCTGTGTCTGCTTGGTTCCGCAAGCCTCCTAAGAGTGGCGGCGTCCAGCTGCCACGACACCCAGCGGTTTCTCCTTAGTGCCTGGTAGGGGACGGGTGAGGTGTCTGCTCAGGCCTTCCTGCCCTCCAAGCGGCTCCTGTCTCAATGCATCCATTCAGCCGCCCTCCCCAGAGGGTTGTGCCTGGAACCGCCACCTCGACACAAGGGCCACACCCAGGGGGAGGCGAAGAGATGCCACCGGGCCTGGAAAAACCCAGGGCTGGGAAACTCTGGACTTGAGGAGAAGCTGGAACACAAGGCCCCAGCCAAGAGGGCTTTGGAGTTTGAGAACGGGCTGCTGGCCTAGGGGCTGCCAGGGAGGATGACCAGGGTGTGCAGGTCCACACCACGAGTCCCGTCTTGCTCCACCAAAAAACTGGGATAGCAATTGAAGGGAAAAAAATCTGAACAAGCTCTTGAGGGGCCGCTGGTCTCAGCTCTGCCTGGATGCCAGGCATCATTCCAGGAAAGGCAGACGCGCTGTGCCCTGGGGAGGAGTCCAGGACATGCCCTACCACCCCCGCTGCCTGGAGGAGGGAGTCTACGTTCTGAATGGGGTAAAGGCATTGGGCTGAGCAGGACCCAGACCAAACCACCGTGTGGAACAAATGCCCATCATCCTCGCTTCCGAAGCAGCCGGGGCTGGAGGACAGGCTCCGGGCAGCTGCAGCTCACCCTCTTCCCTTTTATGGAAAACAATTCCTAAGTCACATTTCCGCTTCAGGCAGGGAAGATCGGAGGCCCTGAGCACGCTCCCCAGGGCTGGCCTGGCCTGGCAACAGCCTGTGCTGGCCAGGACACCCCATGCTGGCCCCATGACAGCCAGGGCCACACCCTGGAGCCAGGTCTGGAAGCTGCTCTGGTGGCCGCCCAAGGCACGCCTGGCAACACCACACTTCTGCGTCCAGGGCACTGGACAGGCTATCGGCCGGATGGCCCTCAGTCTCACTGCAGTAAGAATTCAAGTCGAGGAAAAGAAATCTGACAGACAGACGGCCAGACACCCCTGGGCAGCCTGCCAAAGCCAGGATAGGCCTTCTCCAGGCACAGAGCTGCCGACCTCCAGAAGGCCCCTGACAGATGGCTCTATTGGAGAGCCCAAAAGGGACCCTGAGAGGGCCAGGGACCCTCACCACTGTCCCCCAGTGCTGGTCCCTGAAGTCAAAGCACAGACCTAGGGGCCGGAGGGCAGCTGTGCAGAACCAGAGATGGCTTCAGTGTGAGAAGTCCATGGGCCCCTGGGATCCCTGGACCCCAGACCCCAGGGGAGACAAGGATCAAGTCCATGCCCTAAATGTCTGCTGGGCTGGGGAGGCTGCAGGAAGCTCTGTGTCCTCTGCCCCTGAGGCAGCCCCTGCAGCACCCTTGGGAGGCTCCCTGGGGGAGGAGGCCGGCCTCACCAGCAGAGCCCACTTAAGGCCTGGTCCAAGTCCTGGTCCCCACCACCTTGTTCCTGAGCCTAAAGGCTACCATGGTGCACCTGTCTTCAGACAAGCTTCCACCAGACAGGGGCCACGCAGAACAGAACAAGGAGGGGACTCAAGCGAGATCGCCACATGCCAGGGAGAAGACAAAACGACAGAACAAGACATGGCGAGTCTTCTCAGGGGGAAGAGATGCTGTAGGCAGGAGCTGGCAAGGACGGCATGGAAAGCATATCCTAGAAGAAAAGGCTCCTAAAAATCAAACAAACAAAAACAACAAAGGGGGCAGGAGAGGGAGAGTGGAGAAGGTCCTGTGAACCAGAACAAGAGCCAAGAGGGGACAGAGGCAAGGAATGGAGGGGACCTGGGGATGCCCCTGGGTACAGAGGACAAGAAGGTGGAACATGGCCTTGCGGGCCCTAAGATGATGTCCTGGAGTCAAGGAAGCACGTCCTCACTGCATATCTGGCCAGGGGACCCCACTGCACGTCTGGCCAGGGGATGGAAAAGAACCCCCCAACCCCAGGCGGGGGAAAGCAGCCAGAACCAGACAGCATCCAGCTTCTTACTGTCAACACTCAAAGCCAGAAAAAGGCTTTAAATTCCGAGGGAGAGAGGTTTCCAACCTAGATTTCTCTACCCAGTAAAACCATCCAAACAGGGGAATGAAAAATAACAATCATTTCCAGGCAGGGAAGATTTTTTTTTTTAAACGTCCCTCTCCTGGACCCTTTCCCAGGAAGCGAATGAAGGATGTTTCCCAATAAACAAAGGAGCAAATCAGGAAAGAGGAAGCCACCCCTTGAGTCAGGGAATACCAGTCCATGGGAATTCCCCAGAATGACAGAGAAGATGATCCTACGGTCAGGGGCCCCAGACCCAGGTCCCGATTAGAGGTGGCAGGAAGGCCTCACAGTGAGACTCATGCACACCCAGCAGAGCGCACAGGAAGTGCCACACTAGGTACACAGAGGACCAGCCAAACAGAAAAGCGGAATTATGAACTCCAAGGAGGGGGAAACAAGGCAAAAGAACAGGAAGGAAATGGCTGGGCATGATGATGACAACACAGCTGTAATAAAGAAATGTCGATTCCAGTGGAACCGAAGAGTAATGCAGCTTCACTGGGAGGCTGGGGTGGGGAGGGACGGTGACATCCTTGATCTTCACATAGGAAGTCCAGTGTGACACCTAAAGCTGAAAACCCCAGGGACAACCACATAAGTCTGTGGCTCAGAAACACACAGACAGAGCCCAGAAGATGAGTCAAGAGGGAAAGGAATAATCTCTGGGGGGTGTCC